GGTACTTTTTCTCCCCGGGAACGGGCGAGCGCAGGGAATTCACCGTTCGGTGTACCGACCTGCCAGGCCTGAGGGACCTTGGAAGACTCAGTCATGATGATTTCAAATTTTCAAAGAGGGTGACCGGGCTGCTCCGTGGATATGATCACAAATTCCTCGAGGCGCATCATCGCCATATTCCTCCTGAATTTGATGAGGAGCTGTACTTGAACTTTGAGTCCATGTACGCGTAACAGGTTCATGTGCCGCATTCAGGCTGGAATTGTCGGGGAACTGACAACCATGGACATGCCCTACCGCATCACCCACGTGAAAGCCTGCCAAGGCCATGACCAGTCGCTCATTGACAAGGTGGGAACGGCTCCATTGGTCAAGCAAATCATCTCGCTTGACTACCAGTTCACGGTCGAGGATTTGAAGAAGGGATTCTACCCCAGGGTTCCCATTTATCCTCACCTGGCGGAAGCCGAGGTCTCAGAAGAGTTTAAGGTTATTTACCATTACACTTCATGGGACTCCCTCCAGCAGATCATTTGCACGGGGATTTTTCCAGGGGCCACTTCATGCAAGGGTCATGCGTATATGACCCGCCATGCGCCTTGGGAAATCGAAGGCAAGGATCCTGGCGTCAGGACGAACAGACCGCTGTGCATCGCGATCGACACCGATTGTGCTCTGCACTATGGTCTTCGCCTGGTGGAAACCTTGGCCGGTGCACTCATCACTGAGGACTGGGTGCCCAATCATTGCCTCATCTACGCATTCGATTGCGAGAAGTCGCAATACCTTTGGGCGAACCATGGCTACAACGGTGTGAAGAAAGTACCTTCGGCAGAAGGCCTCCGAGAACGCTCTCACTTGGCAAGAGAACGAGGCTCGGAAGGGCACTCCCAACTATGACGAACTTGAGAGGTACGAGATTTCGGACCTGGAGGTGTTGAAGAACATGTTCGTGAATGAGTACGATCAGTGGAAGGATGTCATCACTCTGCGACGTCCGCTCATTTACAAGGAAGTTCCGACACCATACCCTGTCGTCGATGAGTTGCTGCCCAAGTTCAAGCAAAGGCCGCTCAACTTCACCAATCTCCTCTGTGTGGCACGCAAGCCGACGGCAACAGCTGCTGGCTTCGACATCGCCCCTGACAACGCGCGGGAACGCCGTTCTGATCGCTTCGATCAGGAGGCATTTGACCCATCCGCGGAGGGGAACCTCACGCGCTGGCGGTATGTATCAATGCTGGCAATGCCGGAATTGACATGCCCCCGGTGCAGGAAGATTTTTCCTGAGGGGATGTTGGTTTGCCTTGCATGCGGCTTGTCGTTGGCGACAATGTCCGACATGCGCCGTGCGTGTCAGGTGTTCCGCCTGGAAGAGTTGGCCGAGAAGCTGGGCTTCGAGCTGACGTTGGATCTTCTGGGTGATGACGATGTAGCAGGCACCACACAAGGTGCCAAGCAGATCAGATCTGCTGCTGCAGTCCTCAAAAATCACGCCCGCTCATACATGAAGCAGGCGAGAAAAGCTGGACTGACTTTGCTACAGCGTCTGGGAACGGACGCCCATTACGCCTTTAATTGTGCGGTCCAGGACCTTACACCTCGGTGTATGCATTGGATTACAGTTCTGGGCAATGTGGTGCTTCCCTCCATCAAGCGCACGCGAGAGGAGATCCGAACTGGAAAGATTCGGCAGTACAAAGCGCGTATGTGCATGGTCGCATACGAAGAGGAGCAGATGAAGACGATCATCGTGGATGATCATGTACTCATCTGGTACAAGAACCGCTTTTACAGAGCCAACCAGTTCGCGGCCGCCTATGCCTTGATCCCGGTGGCCGAACGTTTTGAGGTCTTGAGCGTCGCCAACACGACGTTCCAATCCCTTGCGTTGTCCAAGCAGGATGTGTATGCCGACATTCTCAGCTATGTCGAGGACATCCTGCGCCCCCTCACGGAGGCAAAGGACACGGAAGGCGGAAGCCGACCCCTACCTGCAACGAGGCAGCAGAACCCGGATGTCACCAGGTCCTCGCGTCCTGGCTATGGTTCTCATCAGGGGCCCACTCATGGCTACAGTCAGCAGGAATGGAATGACTACTACAATCAGTGGACTGACCAGGAGTGGGAAGATTGGCGCCGTCGAAATCAAGGCCACCAATACAGGGATCGACGTTGGTCGGGCTATCGCTGAGGCACCGCGGAGGGGAACCTCTCGCCTGGTGGATTTATCTTCATCTGAGGCGGGGTAGTTTTCTCTCAAAGTGAGGTGTCGCACAGCGGAAGCTGTTGCCTTTTCGGATTTAATTCGGTTAGGCGACTAGCTTCATTTTTGCACGCGTGGGTGAGCGATTCCACGATCATTTCCAACACTAGTGTGCTAAGTCGGAATTTTTGCCAACTCAGTCAAGTTCACAAAAGTTTCATTAACGCTTTGAATGCATATAATTTGAAGCAGGCATTTGGCACTCATCTTATTCTTGCCATGATTCCTTCTTGCATAGCACACGGCTGGTAGTTGCATGAACCGCAGAGCGGAAGCTCTTGCCTTGCGAAGTTAAGGCATTTTTGAAGCATTTCCGAAAGCTTCCCTGCGGGTTCACATCGAAACCGAATTCAGCATTTTGCTTTAATTCATTTTGTTTGCTTCGGCATGCTCCCGGGCGTCCACAAGAACTTTTGATGCCGCGTGGAAACGCTGGCCTTTGTAATGGGCCACACTTCAACACGTTTGCATGTTCGACCACAAGCCCGGTAGAGCCAAAATGAAACTGAATGCATTCGGCCGAATTGACTTGCACTGCATCCTTCTTTCGCACAACGTGACGTTAGATTGAATGGATCGCTATCGCTGTTGATCTTGTTTGTCAACTTCGTGCAACGCTGAGGTGAAAGTACGAAAGACTTCGAAATGTTAGGCGACGGTCGGGTTTGGGTTTGTTGTTGTGTTTTCTGTTTATGTTAACTAATGGCATCCCTAACTAGACTGTACATAGCCTAATTTGCAGCTTCACTACCCGGGCGGTAACTACACTGCACGGGGGGTGTTGTTGCACAGTCTTTATGCATGTATACATACTTTTCACCTTATAGATTGTGTTGCATTGGCTCAAGAAACATGCTTTGCAGGGTGTACTAGGTTTGTGGCTTATCCCGGTTTCTAGCTTGTTTCTACATATAATATACATATAAGCACCAAAAGACTTGTTTAGATTGTTTAGTGCTGGGTCTGCTTCTCGACCAGATGCCTGTGTCTGTGTGAAGCCCTTAGAGGACAACCCCCAGATACAGAAAAGTAAGGTGCTCAGTGCTACGAGGGAATTAGTTGTAAATTTCAGGCTTTTTCCTGGCACACATTATACTTATTTTACAGACAATTTAATTTTAATGCTGAAGCCACTACGGAGGCTGTGATAGATGTGACCATTCAGCCAAGACTGGGTCCTTGCAATTCAATCTAGCGGTATGCAAAGCTTTGGTGGTTCTTAGTAAAAAATTACCTTCATGTTACAAACCCACAAAGATGAAACCAGTTTTAGTAGATTTTACGTATCCCAACAGATGGATTCCCAATGTTTCAGTCTCCAGTGATAGCAAGAAATTGCATAATAATCAACAGCTATGACAGAATTATAAGTTATAATCAACAATTATAATCAACATTTAGAACTATCAATTTATAATCAACATTAATCAACATTATATAATCAACAATTAAATGTATTCAGAATGATCCCTCTTTAACAAACAGGCGCCCCGACGTTGAGACGTTGATCAGAAAACCAATCCATTGGATCCACGGATCCCATCCAGTTTGACCCCAGATCATGGGAGCTTAGTAAGGATTATCCAAAATGTATGTAAAATGCACCAAATGTGAAATGGAGCTTGCTAAGGCTTACTAAGCCCTAGTAAGGCTTACTAGGGTATACCACAAAAGCCACCACTTATGCAGAATATTGGATTCCTTATTGAGTGCGTTTTTGGCCTCGCCAAGGAGAGCCTGGTTGGGGGTAAAAGCGGATAACCCTTACTAAGGCTTAAACTGTGTGGCCAAAATTCCTGTGAGATGGATTGGGGTACTTCCATGAATTCCAATGTGACTATGTCACAAGCATCAATTTGATTTGATCAAAATGGATTTGTGGGAAAACGTGCCTCCTTACTAAGCCTTAGTATGAACCAAGGGGGTTGGAACCAGCATTTGAGAACCAAAAAACACAAAATGCTTAGTAAGCTTCACTAGGGTGGGACAAAGTCGATAAAGAAAATGAGCGTTGGTCTGATCCGATGTTTTGCAAACAAAACCTCACACAAATTGAGACACCAGAGAGGCTTGCCAGTACTTTGCACCTCCACTATATCACTTTCTTGGGTTTCCAAGGCAAGACCATTATTAAGGGCTACTAAGCCATTTCTGTTTTCCTTGTGGATGAGGGTCTCTGATTGCAGTTTTTAAGATTGTCCCCCACTACTGTTTCTGGTCCATGCGTCCTACAAACCTTGGTTTCTTACCAAGCCTTGCTACCAATCATGCTTTCGGGTACAAATTCAATCATCTCTGGTGCTCACATTCTGGACCCCAAATCCTTGGTGATGCTTGGTAAGCTACCAGGATCTGGGGGGTAAAACTGCGGGGGGAGGGGGGAGCCAATGCTCCTTCTATAGTTAGTTGGTTTTTATATATCCCCCCATTAGCCGTAGATATTATCTAGATATGCCTACCAAGACGAACTCAACAATAGATAGTCGGATAGTCAGATAGTCAGATAGTTCGATAGTTCGAACTTCTCTAACTTCAATGGTTTTTCTATACTAGGCTATAGGAATATAGTATATCAAACACATCAACCCCCTAGATACTGGAGTTACCCTCTGGTAATTTGTAACATAGCTATTGAAAATGGCCATTATTCATGGGAAAATCCACTATTTCGACTGGGTCATTTTCAATAGCAAACTGTTGACATAACCAGAGGGTAAACCATCACTACTCCAAGGCAGCAGCAGCTCCAGTCCGAGGGCGAGGCCCAGGTCAGCTTTCTGCAACGGCGTCTGTTGGAGGCCCAGGAGACGCCTGGCGCGCTGGGCGGAAAGTTGGGAAAGAACGTAGGAAAACCATGGGAAAATGATGGGAAAATGATGGGAAAATGATGGGAAAACGATGGGAAATGATGGGAAAATGATGGGAAAATGATGGGAAAATGATGGGAAAATGATGGGAAAATGATGGGAAAATGATGGGAAAATGATGGGAAAATGATGGGAAAAAGATGGGAAAATGATGGGAAAATGATGGGAAAATGATGGGAAAATGATGGGAACATGATGGGAAAACGATGGGAAAATGATGGGACAACGATGGGAAAATGATGGGAAAACGATGGGAAAACGATGGGAAAATGATGGGAAAATAATGGGAAAATGATGTGAAAACGATGGGAAAATGATGGGAAAATGATGGGAAAACGATGGGAAAATGATGGGAAAACGATGGGACAAAAGGTTGCGAAACTGAGGATGAAACCACAAGCTGGAAAAATCTGCAAAAAAGCTGGGAAAAGAAGAAGGATACAGCAAAAATCTGGTAAAATGCAAGGAACTGGAAGATTAAATCCACCACAAATCATCAATCGTTTGGTCAAACATGGTGGTTAAATCATGAACCACCAAAACTGAAGATATTTTTGAAAACAACGCAATTTGGAGATAGAATGGATATGATGGATGGGTATATGTTGCCCAGAAAAGTCATCAATACCCTCTGGTATTCTGACATGCTTACCAGCATTTCTTCTTTTATATCCAATGTATAGATTACCATTGCCATGTTTGATTAACAGGGGGTGCCAGTGGTTTGGGATTGTTTGGCTGGTCGATTCTTTGGATTGTCTTGTTTTTGGTGCGGGGATGCGTTTTATCATAGTTGTGATTCCTCCATCCAAAACAGTACATTTTTCCAAACCTAACTGTCCCCACCACATGGATGCTTCGCAAGTATCTTTGCTTCGCTGTTTGACATTTTTAGTTTGGAAGCTTCAAAGACCCCAGATCCCCTTACCATCCCAGTTTGTACCTTGTTCGTAACCATGTCCCACAATTGGTTTAATATGGTTAATTAGTTATAACTGATCTCCCCCTTTACCGCTGGATCTTGAACAACTGTAACCAGAACATTCACCCTTACAACATTTTAATAACTATTGGGCTTAGTGTGGTGAACCCAACAGTAGGCCTACCAATTGGGAATGGTTTATACCACCCATTTATGGTCATATTGGGCGTTGTTTACAGTTGGGAATGGTAAGAACAACGGTTTCCTGCAGATTGTCCCTCAAATCCGGTTGTTGAGTTTGCCACATTTCGATATTGTCAACCCTCTGGCAATGAAACATGGCAATGGAAGGTTCCCCATTTATAGATGATTTTCCATTGAAATTGCCTAGTGAGAAGCGGATCTCCCAGCTAACCATGTTTGTTTACCGGAGCAATGACCCTAATTACAACATCTTACAACATAAGTCATACCTGTATCTCCATTATGCTCGTATCCCGATTCTCTTGATGGTTTATATCTCCATCATATATCCATAAAATATATCCCTAATTTGGCGGTCTTTATCCCGTTAATTGTGGGTGCAGTGCCAGTAAACTAAGTGGGTCCCGTATCCCAACGTATTGGGCTCAAAATCACCGAAAAAATCACCCCAAACATAGCCCCAAATATCATCTCAAGTTGGTTAAAATCCCATCAAACAAATAATTATATACGCCACTTGAGTTTTGCATCATATATTGTTTATGGTATCTATATGTATCTATAGCAACCCCAAAATAGAATAAAATAGAACAGTGGGAACCTGGAAATATGGGGTATATAAATATCATAGTTCGCTACCATCCCACCTTTCGGCATCTTTTTTTTGGGATTACCACAACAAAATACTGTACATATTGGATATAGCCTCCTATAATCAACCATCATCTACCCACTCATAGTCCCATATATTCAACCATGGTCATATATAGAGACTATCATTAACCATCAACTATAACTAAGTAACTAAAACCATCATTTTTAACCCCATATCATTTCAACCATCATTTCAACCACTAACCATGTTTTTTTTGGATGAACATGATGAACCATCAAATCATGTTGTTTTCTTGACTACAACCACTAAGTTATACCTATACATACGTTTATATATATATATAGTTATATATATATGTTATATATATATATAAATATATATATATATATGAATATATATATATATATATATATTCAACCATCATCAACCATCAACTACTATCCATCAACTATCCATCATTTCAACCACTATTAATCATCAAAATCCCAGGCATTTCTCCGTCTTCCTTTTTTCGGTGCCGAGGAAGGCGTTGCCCGAGGTGGAAGCCCAGGCCTTGGTGGCTCTGGCGCTGGGACGGCGCGAGGAGTTGCAGCGCCAGTGCCGCGACGCGCAACAGGCGCGCCGGGAGGCGCGAAGCATGGGGGAACAACGGGTGGAAAGACCGGGAAAATGGAGGAAATCCTGGAAAATTGCCATTTATAGTGAGTTTTCCCATTAAAAATGGTGATTTTCCATAGTTATGTTAGTTTACCAGAGGGTAAAACATGTAGACACATGTGTTTTTGATGGATTTTGAAGGATGTCTTTGTCGCTGGACTTGGTTGAAATTGTGTTGTTGAGAAGATGATGTAAACAAATTGGGGGCTGGAGCGGTTTATTTATTTGTTTCATTGGAAAGGGAAATGGTAAAGGTGAAACAAGTATGCAGGGTAATGGTGGTTTGGCAGATGAATTTTGTTGATTGGGAAATTGAAGTTTTGAATCTGGGGTGGACATGGACGTTAACGGACCCAAGGTGTATAGAAATACAGGTATCTCATATGGATGGGATTGATTCCAGTTGTATTCAATTTATAGTCTAGTGCCTTTTTTTGGTTCACAGTGGGTGCTTGGTTGGTACTTTGAGTTTCGATATCACCAGATTCTCTCCGTTGTTCCTCTTCAATGGCCCGGGTGACGTTGAGGAAGAGATGTCTCCAGAAGTGGCTCATTTGCGGAAACTGTCTATGGAGCAGCAGGAGGCGGCAGCCCCTAAGGAATCGGATGGTATGGTGGATTAGTGGAGCCCAGACATAGAAAAAACACATCGACTCAATGCATATGGAGGTTTGCCAACCCAGCAATGGCGGTCTATTCCAACCAAACCACCAGTTATACCGTTATAAAGGGACCTAAAGGGTGGGAACATCTCCAATCTTGCAAGTATTTTGCAAGTAAACCGTTTACTTATTGCATCTTATTAAATACTTATCCCCCAAAATACCGTGCAGCAAAGTCGAACATATAGCACTCACAAGAGCCTTGTGTACGAATGTCCAATTTGCCCACCGTTCCCCATGTAGATTGCATCCAGAAACCCACCATGTTCATCCATTTTCAGCAATGTGTGCAGGAATTGCTCAGGCGTCGTGAGCAGATCGTGCAGATCGAGCAAAGCAGCTGGGTGCAAGCACTTGGGGGGTGAAGCGTCAACATTTGGGGCTAAACCATCCAGAATGTGGGGATTCATCTGCCAACCCCATGTTTTGATCCATTCAATGATGTAAGTTGATCTACATGAAAAATCTGGAGTCAACAAACTGGTGAAGGGTAGGATTCAGCTGGCAACGGGGACTCAACTAAACAGGGATATGCAGGGACCAGCAAGTACTGGGAAAAGCGGTTGGAGAATGGTTGGTGAACGGGTTACTCTTCTGATTTAATTTGGGCTGGAACATCGTGCCCAATGGTTGGTTGAGATCAGTCGTGGGCTTGGGCTTTGGGTTTTGGCGACCCCCAGAATGGTGTTTTGGTTGAGCTTGGTGACCCTTCTGCTTGTGGTTTGACTGTCCATCCTGAGCTTAGCACGGGTTGACTGGTTGGATGACCATTTCTAGGAGGATTTCGGTGAATCTAGGAGGATTGTTGGGCCATCCAACTGAGGTGGACACTACCAAGCATGGAAGCGAAACCCGGTCACAGAATGGAGGGCAAATGATCATGTGACGATGTGGTGTGGGAAGCCCAAGGGCCCAAGGGTTAACAAAAACATACCACAATCTGCCATTCGGGGATATCTCATAGACATTCATACAACGAAGTTTCATAAACCTCTCCAGGGGTCACAACAACTGAAGCGAACCGGGAAAAATGGCATGAGTGTCACCAGTCTTCCAAAGAACTGTTCCAGCCATATTAATCATCAAACCATCAAACCATGTCATTTAACGCGGGTTGAGAGTGTGATGCCAAAGTGTTTGGTGGGCCAAACCCATTGCTTCCCCCACTTACCATGAACATCCCTGAGCCCTCCGCCATGTCACAAGGCGCTCATTTGCGACCCATTCGCAAGCCATCATTGGAAATTTTGGAAATCTGCATCCATTTTTGGGCTCAAGATGAATGACGAATTTTAGATGATGGCGCCTTTGGTTCCTTTCCTGGAGCATCTTGGAGCCTTTTTTTTTAGGCCAGGGCCCTCCCTGAGGGAGCGCCATGAAGGTCCAACCCTTGGACGAGGAATCCACCCCCAGTGGCGCCGCGGCACCCCAAGGGCCCCCGGCAGCGCCAGAGACTCCCCCAGAGCCGCCCAGCCCAAAGTCCCCAAAGTCCTCCAAACCACCAGGGCAGCCCTCCAGGTTGCTGCAGGCGCCCGAAGCGGCCGGGAAACTTGGAGGATTTTGGAGGACATTTTTTTGTTGGGGAAAGGAAAGGGGCATTCCTGTGAGGACTGGGTCATAGATGAATTGATAGATGATGATATGATAGGTATATTTGGAAGAATTTTGGACCAATTCCCCATGGAATCTGTTTGCCTTGTTGTTGGCCGTCATGTTAGGAAGAGTGCCCACTTGGGCTACCTATTCAGAGCCTTTACGGCCACGCCTGCTGGGGGTGGCTTAGGGAGGAGATGTAGCATTGAGGAGTCTTGCAAAGGTGGGCGGGTGAAGCAAACCATCAAAGGATTTTTCCAAACCCGGTGCTGTCTTGGAATTTGGAACTGCAAACTCACCAATGGTTTAGCAGAATTATCCTTTGAACATGGCCATATTGGAGCATCCGTATCCCCATTTTCGGACAAAATTCAAACAGTTGCATATCCCGAATGAACAGGTTAATCATCAATCATATCGTATAGCCATAAAATTGTGATCTGTGGGGGATCCCCCAATGTCAGACACACCTGCTTCTACCCCACGCGACAGGTGATGTGGAGAACATGGGTGGAGCGAGATTGTGTCTCCCAACGGTGCGTGGTACCGTCCTTTCTTCCCTTCTTTCCAGTACATTTATCTTCATTGGGCTGCTGGCGTTGAGCGCGGCTGAACATGGACTTCATGGATTTCCTAGAACAGCTTGGTTAACACTGGCACTAAGATACCTTGGTTGGGCCTTTCTGTTCTACATCCCCATCCATTTTATGTCCGTACCGCCGCTTGCTCGCTGAACGCGCGCTGTAGCCCCCGAAAGGATAGTGTTTTACCATGTTTTACCACTATTTTTGATAGGATTTTACGTTTTATTGTCTAACTGTTGCCGTTGCCATAGACTTTATGGAATCTTCAATGACCTGTCATCCCCGCAATGGCAATCGAACCCAGGTTTGTTCGCAACTTCTTGCTCTGGTCACTTCAACCAGGGGATAGCCTTAGAGACGCCTTGGCCCATGGTAAGGGGGAGGACTATCCAGTTTGTCTAGGAAGGCGTGCGGCCTTCTTCCCCTATTTTGTGCACACATGTTGCTGGGTGGTTCAAGCGAGCCATTGAAAATACCGCTTTGGAGTGGTGAAATATAGGAGGTTGTATATACTAGAGATTGTCACAATCCATGCGGGGAGCCCCTACTTGTATTTACCAACCAGTACACTGGGATGCGATAGGGGTATTTTTAATGGCTCAAGTAGGTATGGATCAAACACTTTTTTTGCCAAGCGTGTCATATGTAGTACTCCATTTTTGAGCCATGCATATATATTTTACTGTAGTAGATATTTGTTCCCAGCCCAGTATCCAGGGGGCATGTTCCCAAGTGGCAAGAAACATAATGACTTCCTGATTTGCGTTTTATTTGCCGGGATTGAAAGCAGCAACCAGGTTGGCTGTCAGTGTATGCTATATTGATCTTTGTGAGCATTGGTGAGGAGGGGTAACTTCCTCTTTGAACTTTGAGCAAGTTGTGTTGTTATTTTTTCTCCTTCAGGCTTTACACTGATAAGGTTTGGCAAGTACCCCACAAACATATGAATGAACCTAAGCAGGAAATGCCCTATATATACACATATATATATACACATATATATATAATATAATATATATATATATAATATATATATATAATATATATATAATATATATATATAATATATACACATATATATAATATATATATATATGTGAGTGATTGTTAATATGTTTCCGGTAATATGTCAAACCAATCCAGCGGGGGCATCATTGGCAGATGCAGATTCAGTATGCGGACAGATATGCTACATTTCAGCACAGTACTTCACATTATGTTCCATTGCATTGTGTAGATGAGATATCATTCTTCATTGATTTATTCACTGGCTTATTGCAGGCATTTATTCACTGGCTTATTGCAGGCACACATGCATCTTTTGCTCAAACTGTGTTATACCCTTTTGAGTTGGGTAACTTGAGAGAGCGGGGTAGGTCAATGCCAATGGGACCTTTTTTAGGGGAGGGGAATAAACATCCATTCGCCGATGTGTCGATGTTCAGCCAGGTACTATAGGGGTTTGACCATGTTTGACCCACATGGGCACCCAAAGTAAATGACAGGGATGAGACAAAGCGAACCGGTTTGGATAAGATTGCTCGGGTTAGGTTTGCACAGCTGATGGTGGGATGATCTTCCTTTGTGGATGCATGCTTGGCTTATTGCGCTTATACAATCAATTACTTCTATATCTACGCTATCCATCGCTATCCATTTTTTATCCTGTACGTCCGCCACGGCCACAACAAGTTCCCTGGGAAGGTCAAATCAACTCATCTCATTGGCATGGATCACAACTCTGCCTGCCATGTTTTTTTGGCACCCAAATTTGACCCAGACCTATGCAACGAGTTGTAGTTTTCAAGTTGCCGGGGTCATGTGTTTTTGGGGTGGATCACTATGTCACCATGGAACATTTGGCCAGGTCCGAGGTCGTGATTGGAACCGAGTCACCGAGGTATTTCGGCCTCGTGCCCATTTTTGGCTTGGGAAACATCTTCATGGTTCCGGTGGGAACTTGTGCCTCCATGCTCTTTGCACCACCATTAGTGAGCAGGAGCTACCCTTTCAAAGTTGGCCCCTCGGCGATTTTGTTCCCCATCGTCGGCTTTCTCCTTGTACCTTGGTGTAGATTATCATGAGGGACTCTGGTGATGGCGCTGGAGACTGGGAGATAATGTATATACATAGATGCACGCATATGCACGCATGCATATCACACTGGACGCACATATTATACCTACAGAGTTTCAAGGATTCAAAGGAAGAGAGACAGAGAGAGAGAGAGATATATATATATATACGCATTATACATATTCAAATTACGACCAGTATGCAGTTGCTTCATACACATGCACATCCAGAACTTTCTACACATGGGTCATGGATTCCGATGATTCCGCAGGTGGTGGGTAGCTACATCCTATTGCGGAGACTCATTGGTCCCTCCTTGGCCTCCGTGATGCCGCTGGTGCTCAGTGCCTATGAGCTGCTGGGTACCGCGTTGGTTTGCCGCGTCTTTACCCGTGAATTCGTGCCTCGCCTTGGGGGTGGCAAGGCGACCCTCCTTTGAGTTGATTGGTTACCCTCTTAACATACAAAAACTAGGAAAAATCACCCTTTTTAGTGGGTAAATCAACCATAAATGGCAATTTTCAATAGCTATGTTAAATTACCAGAGGTTGGCGCGGGGGATTCTACTACCTGGTTGGGGATAGTCATAATCCATTCTGGGAATACGAACCAACCCGTATAATGGGATGTGATAGGGGTATATTTTCAAGGCCCAAATAAATAAATATCGCAATGGGAACGGAAATCCTCTATGCTAAACATTGCTAAACCAAGTGAGGGATTGTCCAGCAAGCCATGCTTGATTACCAGTTTTTTTTAAGCAGAAGGCGTCATGGCATTAGTATAAGCAAGCACATGTCTGGAATCCATGCAGGCAAATGTCCTGGAATAGTTGAGATGGATGTTCTCGAACTTCAAATGAGGTTGAATAATAGGTTACACTCACACACACAGATATATATATATATGTATACATCTCTTTCTATATCTATATCTATATCTATATGTGTATATCTCAATTGCAGTTTTTTTTTGTTCATCCCCGGTCATTAGGGATTACATTCAGAAGGGCATTTTTGGCTGCCCTTCCCTATATGTTAGTTTGGCTGATCACTGCTCAGCCCCGTTAGTGGATGGTCCACCAACTGGATCCCACTGGTTGGTGGTCTTAATCGACGACTGTATTTCAGGAGCCAGGATACCCTCTGGTAAATGTTTACATAACTGTGGAAAATCACTATTTTTTATGGGTAAATCAACTATCAATGGCAATTTTCAATAGCGATGTTAGTTTACCAGAGGGTAATTACATGTTTCAAAAAACTGCATTGCGTATATTAGCTGTTGGGATGATCTTAAGCACCTGACTACAGTAGTATTTTTTTTAGTGGAACATTTAAGATCAGTTTTGTTTGTAATTGGCAATCCTTAGAAATTGATAGAGATTTTATGGGACTTGATCACATCTCACAGGTGGTGCAGAAAGAGGTACGCGAGGGCTACCTGGGCACCAACCAGGGCCTTGTTGTCTCCATGGCCATTTGCAACCTGCATGCGATGGCGGAAGGAGCTCGCCTCACGCTGCTCCTGGGAGGATGTCATTTTGTTGTTTTTTCAGGGAAAATCGACACATTTTTCTGGTTGTTCTATGAACTACCCAGGTTTAAATTGATACAGTGCACTTGAAGCAGTTTTTGGAGCGATGAGAGCGCGGATAAGCTTTCTTTTTTCCGGGGTGACAGCTGGGTAAACCCGCAAGGTCATGTGAATGATGTTTGTTCTTGTGAACCAAACCAGGACCCCACACAGACTGAAACCACCAGCCTACTCACAGTTTCGCCAGAGACATTGATAAGATTTCACCATCCTAAACTTCCAACTTGGAAAGAATGTAAGGCCTCAGTCTATTCTCAACTCATTTCCTCCCTAGTCTTCAATTTGAGCAATCCAAAGAACCCAACTTTACATGTGCTCAACTTGCAAGTTGCCTTGCCTTGGGTGAGCGTGGGAACTGCACTCAGTTCCATTCCTTGGACGGTTCGACCATGTGAAGATGAAACATTTTGTCATGAAAACTGGTTCGGTTGTTGTTCGCGGAAAGAAGAGGTGAACAACACACAAAAAATGATTGGCATCAACGATGGGCCCCTAACAGCCTAACAGCTACAATTGGATCAATCGGATAATTTCACCCAATTCAACTGCTAGACCCAACTTTTAGGGGTCCGATTTATACCTGGCATATCCTGGCATAGATTTTATATGGATACTATACATTTCTCATGGCCCTAACCCATTGGATATCATTTACGCTATACATTTCTCAATTTCTATCATTTTCATTTCATATAGGGACCAGAGCACTTGTTTACCCAGGCTTTACGTGGACAACTTGGAGAGTCAGGACTGGGACATCCTGGTGCCCATCGTCAGCGGCGTGCTGTGGAACGTCATGGTGCGCCTCGGGGGTCTGGATCGCTTCCTGCACGTCGTCACCAACGGCTGGCGGAAGCCGAACAACGGAAGCCGACTGCTGAGGGAGTCCGGCTATTGCGGCTGGGTGACGTTGGGACGGGGGTGGGAGAAGGCACCAAAAATTGAAGAAAAAAGAAGTGAAAAAGGATAGAAAAGGTGGGTAAATGATGGTAAATGCAGATGAAAACTTGATAATGAGATGATTATGAATGACTTGGAGGCAGAATCTGGGTAGAGCTGGGTTCCAAGCGCGAGGCGGTTTGCAGTTGTGGTCCTGACCCATGAAAGCAGGCTGAGTCTCTTGAGTTCCCGTCAAAACGCATAGATTTCTTTCCCCATCCTTTCCCCATTGTTTGATCGACGCCAATTTGACAATAGCATGCCAAGCGGATCAAACGCCCATTTTTAAATGTCTATAGAAGGACACCATCCTTAGCGATTTATATAAGTGAATTATATGCTCCCATCACTTATTTCTCGGCCCGGTGCCCCATTTTTGGGTTTGTTTCAATCTGTGTACATCTTTTCTCGTGGAAAGTCAACTGATCTACTCCATGTTTTGAATCAACCACGTTTGTTGCCTCGTTCAATGGATCGGTTGAAGGGAAAAATTATAGGAAAGCCCCATATAGCCCCATATTTCATGGGAAAATCTTAGGTTTTCCCATAGATTTTCCCTTAAACCAATCCATTGCCTCATGGTTTGGATCCTGCTGATGGTCCCATGCTGATTCCAAGCCACTTGGCCCCGTTCCGGAAAAGAGTTCTCCTGCATCCGTTGAAACATATTGAAACTATATAGATATATAATAACACATTATAGTAATACTAATGATAATAAAAATGATATAAATAATATATAGTAATAATAATAAATATAGGTAATTATATATAATTATATTCAGATTTAAATAGCTTCATCATATCATGTCCCATGAATTTATCTATGCTTGAAACCTCCAAGAAACCGCAGCGAGGTATGGGCTATCCCCGCTTCGGTGCCGTGGGCGCCCTGCTGTTGGCACGCCTCTGCATCAGCACGCCGATGCGCTTGGACGGACCCGAGCTGCGGCTCTTTGGCATCGTGCTGCTGGCGGAAATCTGCGAAGATCTTTGCAGCTGGGAGATGGTTGGGAGATCTGGGAGATCTGGGAGATCTAGGAAACTCCAAACATGGCGAAAAACTCAGATGGCAAAGACAATCAACGACTCCAGTCATCAGTTGCATGAATTTCTGCACTATCTTTTCCTGATTTTCCTGCTGTAAAGTTGGATTTCCCCCTGCCAGTTTCGATTGCCAGAGTGTTTTTGTGAACTAGCTCATCCAGTTTCAATAGCATCATCTTGGAAGATCTTGGAAGTGACTGGGCCTCAGTCTAGCTTCAGGGATCGCCGACAGTGGTACTAACTTCAATTTCCCGCTTGACCTGGTGATGGAAAACCATGCAATACATTTCGATGATAGACTCACCATCTATATCCATCTATTTTACTATAGTAGGCCATATTGCTAAGCAGCTATGTCGTTTTTGCATGTTTTTGCAATAGTCATTCTTCTCATAGAAATATGGGTCAAACGGCAGGCTGTTCCATTGCCAACTCCCCCGGGGCCCTTGGAAATCATGGAAGTCCTGAAAAAGTCGTCTTTGGAGGAGGATTTTTCCCATTCTACACTGAAATTTTGAAGCAGGAACCATGTGGGATTTTTGGACCTGCTGGCAATCTAAGATGGAAAATCACCAGATGTGGATCTTTATGGATGTCCACTTTTCTGTGAGCAATTTTGTCCATGTCAAACGCCAAGGGCTGGGCAGGTGATCCTAATTTTTCCAGATTGGTCTTGCCTTGGTTCAATGGTTTTTATCATATCTATAAATGTTTAACTGTATTAACCGCGATATTTTTTTTATTTTTGGAGAAGTGGTTGAGAAATGTTGAGAATGAAGAAATCAGACGCATCTCCTTGAACATCTTCCGCCTTCGAGGCAGCTTCGTGTTGCGCTACGTCGGTGTCAACATGTTCCCCAGATCCAAGTTGGTGACTGATACTGGGCGCTGAATCGATCGGGGATGTTGCTGGCTTTGACGTGGTTGGTCAATGTTGGTCATCATGGCGACAAGAACATGATTAAACAGCATAAAACAAAACATAGCCTTCCACAGATCACATGAATTTTCCATACATCAATTGCGGGCACTTTTTGGTGAAACTCTCCACCAAGGAGCAAGAAGTACAGGAGATGGCCCAAGTACGTCTCAACAAGAGTAGCTTGGCCAAAGATGCGTATGGAGCTACAGTGAACACAGCAACCTATAGCTTCCATATTTGATTATCCCATAGATTTCACCATGGATTCAAGTCCATTCAAGTCCCCAATTCGGACAGGAAATACCCGCGACTGGAAAATCAAATCACCATTGTTCATAGGTCAAATTTAATCATCACGTTTATCATTTATACACCATTTTCCATGGCTATGCAAAATAATGAGAGGGTATCTATTTTTCTAGCTATCTTTCTGGTCGGGCATGTTGGAATCCCGAAGGGTTTTGGAGCAATGCCCGGTCGGCATATATTCCATATGCTCGATGTATGGAATATTCATCAACATTTAGTTACCCCAATAATCACCGAAACATGTAGGTAAATATACCATACATATACCATACATGGAGCATCCGGGTATGATTTGCCAGTTCCAATCTCCATGATTTTCCCTCGCCGCAGTTGAGGAAAGGGTTCGAAAGAGCCTGCTGGTAGAAGACGCTTGGCCTGCTGATGTTTATCATCTTCAGAAAAGAATCATGTTAAATCAATATCACCATTTTTTCTCCACTAGTGCATGCAGCGTGACCATCAAATTAACATCTTCAGGGTATCATTTTCTGGTGCTGTGCTACATTTTACACCGGCCCTGCGAACGTCACCGCCTTTTGGCAGGGACAGACTCGGCTGCGGCCAGCTCGCCGGTGACGTCTGAGAGCAGGATATCAATTGTCCCCAGTGATGCGGGCAGAAGGATTGATTCCAACAAGGACCGGTCTGATATGCCCCTTGACAATGGAGGGCTAGATGTGTGTTTTCTTTTTCATCTTTTTCCGTGCTATTTTTGGAGAAAGCAGATGGGCGCAGCATTTGCCTCGGAATTGTTGCCTACATTGACCCACATGTTTGAGAGGTGACGGGAAACGGTTGAAAACCATTGCAATCTAACAACTCTGAGGGGATCCATACCAACCTTGGCCATTTTGAGCATGGCAGAATACACAAGGGCTTATGACTGTCATGGAACCTAATCATCTTTGATGAATCTTGAATCATTTTACATCTAACATGGTGAAAGTTTGTGCATGCCAACACATGGAAATCAAACATTAGGCAATAAAGCTCTTCTTGCAGTGAGCAAAGATGCCTAAGCGGCGTGACGTATCCAACAGGAGCCGAACCTTTCTGGGAGTCCACCAAATTAGGGAACGATTCCCATATCGATATCAAAGCATTTTGACGGATTCGAGGGAACCTTTGTATGCCCAAACAGGCAGAACCATCACGTATTAGGATTCTTTATCATCATTTACCATATAGATCCATATCCTTTAATATGCTGATGGCTTAGGTCAATTAGGTTTTCCAAATATCCCCAATGTGCTACTTCCATCTACTTTTTTTAAAACGGCGCGGGCCGTTTTCCGTGAGGTCACATGCAGTCTCAGACAGGGCTTTGATGAAATCCACCTGCTGGAGTGTACGTGTGGCCTACGACTTCAGGTTTCGCATCGAAGCTTTTGATCCAATGCCCTTGTGGGCTCATCTTTTGCCCACCGCTATGGCACAGTTTCACACCATTTTTGCGATGGTGGTATTTTCCGGAGGCTGGGTTCACGTTGCATATTTTCCTGGCAGATGACATGCTTTAAGAATGTATGCTAGAATAGGAGTGTTTCATAGTGTTTCCTAAGATGCAGCACCGCAATTTTGTAGTCTATAAACACTCCATCAAAACGATCAATTCGCTTCCGTTTTGGTGTGATAAACACACCGTTGTTCCACGCTCTCATTTTCCCAGAAACACCAAAAAGAAGGAACTTCTTGGTTTAGTACAACAAGTCGTATTTTGAACCAATCTACCTACACAGCACTGCCACGTTGAAGTCAATTGAATTGAGGACTCGACTTCATTTTGGGCTTATGTGACTCGGAATGAAGACTTGGCTCAAGGCGATTTTCTGATTTTTTTCCGCCTTTGGCTACTCAACCATTTGGGGAATCTAAGAAATCTAATCCCATCGCCCTAATATTAAACATCCCCTCAATGGTCCCAACTATGTGTTTCTGGGGGTGTTGAATGTGAACGCGGGACGGGATTCAATTATACAATCCTCCAATTCTAGAAAAATCTGTGAAAAGCTCGGCGCATATTGGGCCTGTTGGGCCTGTTGGGCATGTTGGGCCTTGTGGGCCTGGAACTCCAAGGTGAGAGGATGGACTTCTTGGGTTACTCCTCCGCTGTCTTGTGGTGGCCCCTCTTGGACTCTGACAAGCTGTGCACGTCCTCGTAGAACTTTTTTTTCCCCAAAATAATGGCAGTATATTGCAGTGGCTCCAAGGTTTAGCTGACGTAGAGAAAAGCACAGAAGTGTTGTACTCGTAGTTGTTTTTTGGAGATGTCCTACTGATCATATTAATTTACGGTCATCCAATCATCCAATTCTACTGATGGTTTTCGGCATCGAATCTTGGAGTCATATTGACCATAGCCGCTAGTCCCCTGAGGGTTTACCCTGCATCCAGACTGGGCACCGTCTGGTCCCAACCCTCGACACGGACGCGATGCTGATAATTAGGAGCTGTGGCATACCGCCGCGACATCTTGCTGTGAGGTTGGGGCATCAACTGGACGTTGATCTTGGTTGGCCCTTGGAAATGGCCCTTTCCGGTATCTCTTCCGAAAGAATCTTCAAGCGTAGGTAGCCTCAAATTCGCTCTAGAAATCCAGTATGGCAAGGGAAAATATGGGAAATCCATGGAAATCCATGGAACTCCCCAACCTGTTTTGGTAGGACAATAATCCCTTACTGATACTGGCATATTTTTGCTTGTCGAACGCTTTGGAATGGCCCGACCCTGCAGCATGTTGAGCTTTCCGGTGTGTGTCCAGAGCTTGTTTTGCGCCGAAAATCCGCAGGTTCAAGCCAAGATCCTATATGATCCTATGATGTTACCAGAAAGGACTTGAACATATGGCAGAACCCCAGCAGGGGAACCTTTTTTCCAGGATACAGAATGATAGAGACCAATTCTGGCACGTTATGTGATGTTATGTGCCGAGTTATCTAAGTTCTATGTCAAGTTAGGTGGGTTCGATACCAATTGATATAAGGTAGGAGTTACAAGAGCCAATCTGCGTACATGGGTTATATATACACACATCACATATATAATCACACACACACACATATATATATACACATAATAACAAGCACCAATGTAACTGATGTATACTTGTTTTGGCTGCTCAAAAGCCCATGTTTATATCACATTGGGCCGCCTCCTGGGAGGCCAAGGAAGATCGAATCGGTTCTTGGTTTTTTCGGTTCTTGCTGGTTGATCAGTGGGATGGGGGATTTGCCGATTAGCCTCCACCAAATTAAGACTTGGACCCTGAAAATCGCCGAGAGAGAATCTTCAAACCCCCCGGAGGGTATGACATTATATGTCTTTGTCAGACACTTTATGATACTTTATGCCCCTTTTATCCATTAATTTCTAGATAAAGGTTGTTATTTATCATGTTCCACATTTTTCCACATGAACATTACCATACATATCATGAACCATCATCATAAATCGAGGTCGCCCACAGCGCCATGCTGCGAGTGTCCTGAGGAAATGAGGAAAAGGTGGCTGAGGTGCAACAGCTCTTCCAATCCTTGGAGGAACTTTCCCAGGCCACGCAGGACGGCACCGATGGCGTCGGAAGATGCTTGCCTTGGGGAGACGCACCATTGGGTGATATAATCATGGTAAATTGATGGCTTCATAGTGACTATAATGGTTATATTGGTTATGAATGGTTATGAGATCATTGAGAGATTGTATTATGAATGGCTATATTCGGCCATATCATCCAATCATCATCCAATATCACAGTTACAGAACCATGAATGGTAAATTGATGGGCCAAGGTGCAGAAAACATGTGCTCATCAGCGATGGCCACAGAAAACAACTTCATCTCTTTGAAGATTTCGATGGGAGATTCCGCTGGGAAGATGTTTGATTCCAAATATCTACATGGTTTATACAATTGTAAGCACGTAAGCCAAGGTGAAACTTAACACATTAATGGGTGACATTTCATAAATTCCAGGAAATCATTTTGCAAATGGATGCTATACAACATATACAACCACTTCCTGGCTGAGAGCAGCTGGCCCAAGTGGTTTGGTTGACGTCACCGCAGGACGACCAGGTGTGTCATGAGAGCGAAACGCAGGAGCTTCGACAGGAGCGCAATGCCATCAAGGACCTGTTTGGCTCACCGTTGATGGTAGATATATCGCACTAGTTCGTCCGGGGGAAGATAAACCAACTTACTAGTGTGGGGCACAGTAGTAAGCAAAAGCCTTCAAAAAATAGGAATAAGTGAAAAATAACTACAGCCCAAAGAAACCAGGCTTTAGTTTCGGATGTCTTTTCATTTTGGAGACCCATTCAGGGGGTGGTGTTTTTTGGTGGATGGGACTTGGATGCAACGACAGAAATGAATTGGTTGGAAGTTGGAAATAAGGGTTTTACCACAAAGGTTGGGATTATCAGCAAACATGGGGGAATTCCATCACTTGTTTTGGGGTCACACATGAAGTTGCTAGTACCAACCTTGCAGAGCTATTTAGCTTCGCCGATTTGTTTTTCCGTTGGGTTCCGAGTTGGGTGGTCTCCTCATATTTTTCCCAAAGGCATGTCACCAACACTCGCCTCCTGAAGCACGCACCTGTCACCTGGTGATTTATGTGATTTCATGCGGAAAATGAATTTGTAAACCACAGGATGTTTGGGCTTTCCCTTCATTTTCATTCACCAAACCCAGTTGGGGTGAATTTTTATGGCCACACCAAGAGCTAGCACAAGATGTACCCCTAGTTACCCTAGTTGTAAGTTGGTCTAAAACCATCTAAAACTAAATCCCATCTAACTATAATTATTTCATGTTATTTCATCACCATAAACTCCCAAGAGTTGTATTTAAGGATATAAATCAACGCAAACAAAAACAGGGGCACCACAGTATGCATCAATTTCCCCATCATATCCCAGTCATATGAGTTATATCATGTTATATCCCATGATAATCCCAGTTATTGATCCCCATTTCCATATTTCCATATTTCCCATATTTCCCATATCCCATCCCATATCCCATGAGAATCCCATGAGAAACCCAGTTGATCCCATGAAAAAAATCACCCCAGTGCACCAGGATCGCTTGGAGGACGCCATCTCCTCCCTTCGTCAGCTCTCCACCCGCGCCGAGCTGCTGCAGCCGAGCGCCGCCGCGGAGACCACGGCGGCGCGGTCCGCGGTGGGGACGGCGCCGGAGTGGCAGCGCCGCGTGTGGCGCGCGGATGAGGAGCTGAAGGAGCTGAGGCTTGGAGGATAACCACTTGGGGGGGAAGGTTTAAGCTGTCAAAATGATGAAAAATGTGGATTTTGGTGACAAACAAAGAGATATATATATATATTTTGCCAACCAAACTGATGATTTCATCCAACAGAAGGATTGAACACAGCAAAATGTAAGTATGTGGAAGATTTTGGTGATATGGGTCTCAAACCCACACACATTGAATATCAATTTTCAGATGTTTCTTACAAAACAACTCCCAACGCGGAATTCATTTAGTTCCTCAGATGCTTCATTTCACTATTCTCAATTATCATCTGAAAATTCTATGGATGGTTGCAAAATCCTACACCACCTTGGATGGTTGAACGGAAACCCTCCTATCAACTGGTGCAAGATTTCTTCCATCCAGTGTATTAAGCCAAAGACCAAAATGTAGGGATATATACTTGGTGGCTCATCTCCTACAGCTTTGCAACTCGCGGCCCGTGGTGCTGTCAGCTACTGGTAGTGGCGTGAACGACCAAGTGCCGTACATTCAGACATTTGAACATATGTTTTTTTTGGTCTCAAACATATATTCATCCCCCGCTAGAGTAGTCAATCATGATTTTCCGCATCAAAAAAGGTAAACCGTCCGTCTTGACACACCGAAATAGTATCGTCGGTGAATTATCCATCCCCATAAAAGGCATCATAATTTTGTTGGTTGTATCACCATGCTTCGAGACAAAAACATGATTTATCGTATCGTACTTTCCGATAGTTTCCCATTTTGTCTTGTTGGTTAAACCCATTCATAGAGGGATTTATGATGATTTACCTATGAAACATGGTGATTTTTTTCATGTAGCTATGCTATTACCCATAGGATCCATGTATGCCATATATGGTAACATTGACCATCAATATACCCCAAATGTTAGCATATATACCATACATGGATCCTATGTTTTAAAGAAAGAACCGAGGGTAAATCCTCACGATTTTCCCAAGGAAACGAATGGAAGCCTTGCGCTTGCAGCAGATCAAGGACTTGGAGATGGACCAGGCGGATCTGGCGCTGGGAAAATTCGGGCTTCAGGTGGTGGTTGAAGCTACATATGTTTTTTTTTTGAATCCATATATATATATATATACATATAAAGTATATTTATACGCATATATATATAATATATATATATACATAATATCTATATATATATACATATGAAACTAGATAATATCCACAAATAGCTAGCCGTTTTAGTGGGAACATGAGGTTCTAAATCCGTTGGAACATGGGGATTTTTAGACAAAGACCAAACATATCCAACAATTCAGGATTTTGAAACAACAAAATCAGCCAAATGGATCCAAATGGTTTCTTGAACCATTCTGAAGAAAGGAAGCCCAGTAAGCCGTAAGAACTGTCGGGGGCAACAACCCATTTACCACAATTGGAAGTGTTCTTTTCCGCGGGTGCACCACTTGATGTAAAGGCGATGGGGCCAAGGCCGAGCATCCATGACCACCAAAAGTAGTTTGCAACAAGAACCAGCTCCAGAAATACAAGGAAACTTGAAGACCAAAGTCCATTTGGGGCTAGTAGCCTCTGGTGTGAACATCTTCGCTCTGTCCAGCCCCAAGGTAGATTTTAGTCCTGAAGCGGGTCGCTGGCGATGTGTTTGGCCTGCGAATCATGGGCCTCTGAAGTCCAAGTCTGTTGGCAGTTCCAATTCACAAAGAAATTGATCCGGTCATTAGCTCCATGGTTTGCTGGAAAAAAATCCTAGATTTTTCAGATGATTTCCCCAGCTCTACACCAAAAAAAAAAACCTCCATGAGTTCAGGATAGTTAGCTGGATTTCCCAGCCATGTTTACCAGGTGCCAGCTTGACCGTCAGGAAAACCTGGTGGAACAGACCACCCTGGCCACCTCGCTGGGGGAAGAGACGGCCGAGACCAAGATGGTCAGCCTGGAGCGGAGCCAGGCCGAGCTGCAGGCGGCCGTTGAAGCTTTTTGGAGCTGGCAACATCTTAGGAAAATCATGGGAACATCCACCATAAATGCAGGATTGGAGGTTAAACTTATAGGTGAATGATGATTATTAGTCGATGACCGATGCCATAGGATGATTCGCATATAGATTTATATTTAATGAGCACTTCCGGTTTTAGGCGTTAATCCTGGGTCATAAATCATAGCATGTCATAGCCTTTTGTGCCATGAATGGAATCATGGAGGAGAACAATGCAAGACCCGCACAGGTTGTTTATTTTGCTGCAGGCCGCAGGGTATCTAAGATCAACCTTGGCCCAGAGGGTGGATGACCTGGTCAGATTTGGATGGTATGCCAAGTTTTCTCTGCAGACCTGGAAATGCCGCGCTGCGCGGTGCTAGGCCAGCGTTCAGAGTAAGAAGCTGCGAGTGCAGGAGACCCAACAGCTGGTGCAGCAGCTACAAGCCTACATCAGGCTTGGACAATTGATGAACATTGTGATGCTCTATGCTACTGTAGTCCAGAGAGTCTGGTAAAATATGCTAAACATGTGATGGCTTATAGTGCAGGTCTACAATCAGAGATGAGGTATGATGAGATGATGTTTGGAATTGTTCATTGTCATACTACTGGGTGGTTTGGAACATTTTTTATTTGCCAATGGAATAATAATCGCAACTGACTTTCATATTTTTCAGAGGGGTAGGTCAACCACCAACCAGCAGAGTCATTTTTGACTGGGCTCCCTATAGACTCACCCCGGAGGCGTCTTCATGCCCAGCAGCTTCAGCTGGTGACTCGCGCAGATGAACGTGTCCTGCGGAACCCGCAGCCACCCTTTTCGGCCACGGCCAAGGCGTAGGCTTCGTCAGGCATAGCGATGAGGTCCGGGTGCAGTTGGGGTTGTTAAAGTAACGGTTTTTTACCATGACATCATGGTGATATAACTCCTATTATATAGCTGTAACTTGGGATATAATTATTGTGGTGTCCCTATAGTTATGGCATGTTATGGCCATGTCCCCTCTTAATCAGTCTAACTGCACCCCAAGTAGGTGGGCTTAGTTTGTTTGAGCGCCCTGGGAATAGCAGTTATGCCCAGAATAAACACCAAACCAACAAAGAAACCTATTAAATATTGCGATCAAGCTGGCTACAGCAGGTTGATGCAGGTTGGGTGAACCAATGTTCTGAAGGGAAGGTGATGAACAAGAGGGATCAAGAGGCTGGATCTTCAATTCCCAGGTCAAAAATGCAGGAGTGCGTAGGCCTCGGGTCTTTGGATTGATTACCAACGGAACGAGTTGCTGGCGCCAATGTGTGCACTGTGAATAGCGTCGAGTGATCATCATCCTGAGATTTCCTCACTTTGATGTGTCTGAAAATGGAGGCTTTTCCCAATAGGATTCTGGGCTATGGCTATACCCTATTTTTAGGACAAACCCATGTGTTCTGTGTTTCCGCCTGGCGGTTTCTGGGATGATGTTCACATGGCAAATTGTCGCCATAGTTTCCAGGCAGTTCCAAGCCACCGAACGGATGACCTGCCACCGTGCCCGGAAATGGAATGCATCATGCAGCCATGTTCGCCATCTGGCTGCCACAACCTCCCAACACGACCACGACAAAGGACCTAGGTACAGTAGTTGAAAACACATTAGTCAGTACCCGATCCAGCTGCTAATTTAGAACCTGACCTCCCCCCTTCATACATGTCATTTATACTAGCAGGAGCTATCAAATCTATTCGATTCCCATATTATTCCCATAGTATTCCCATATTTTTGAGGAATAAACACTAATAAACATCCATTCATCAGCTCTTTTCCGGTACCATCCGGGTACCAGGCTAAGCCATCAACCTGCACAGCCGAGGCGCTTCTACGAGACCCACCGGGGCTTTAATCGGATGGCGGAGCGCCTCACACGGCCAGAGGCGATGGCATTTTCCAGTGGAAAATCTCCGAAAATCTCTGAAGATAGTGATGGTTTAGTGAATGTCAAAATGGCAGTGTGTCAAAACCTTGTACCCCTGTAGTTCACATCAAAATAGCTGGTAAATGGATGTTCATCCCACTAAAAATGTATCTTTATAGGTATTGACCCATACCCAATGTCAAAATGTCAAGTGATTCTGTGGCATTTTCTAGCAGATATCGTGAATCTTGGCTGGAGATTTTGGGGATAGCTGGCCGTTTTTGCATATTTTTTGGGGGATTACTGTATTCACGGCCATACTATTTATGCTTAGCGGGGATAATCGTGGAAAGGCATGCCGGGTGTTAGAAGATCCTGATGCATGGAGAAACTTGGAATGTGGAGATTCTGAGATCACTCAAGAGGAGCTGAGTCGCTTTTCCGTTGCAGAAGCGGGGGGAGGCGTCGCATCTCTTTGGCTCATTCATGCGTCTAGTGAAGACATGGGATGACATGGATCAATGACTCAATGACCAAGTTCTCCCAGTGCTATATCGGTCCAGTCTTGGGACAGCCAACACCATCCCTGACACCATCATCGCCCAACTTGTCACTGCATAGATTCCGCCTCCACGGATGCAGTTTTTGGATTCCTAACTAAAAACTCACAGACCCCATCAGACCCCCACACCCCTGCACCCCATTCAAAAGCCAGAGCCAGTCACACCAAGCAGTGCCCAAGCAGTCACCACTTTCCTAGTTGACTTTGCAACGAAATCTTCCGTAGATCCTCCCATCACCGGCGCTTTTCGAGTGGGAAGCTGCGCTAATCACTTGCCATGGGACGGCGGAGCTTGATCTGGGGCAGCTTGCTGTTGGTCTTGGCCTTTTGCTGGCAGAGGCGGCAGGGGGGTCGCATGTAGGACGGTGATGATTTTTGGACCGTGGATGGAATACTTGGGGATGGGATGGTTCGCGCATCCTGACATGATTTTCAAACAATTCAACGGGGAATGATTCTTGCAATTTAACGCCCCTAGAGGCCCTAGAGGCCCTAGAGATGAGATTTGACGTAAAAGCTGGTGATTCCCTTCGACCGTTTGAGCATTTAAGTGGACTTCCAGCAAGGTCCGCGTGTGGCTCACGTCTTGCGCCCCGTCAGGACATTTGGATTTGCTTGGGTATTGCTGCGCGGCGCGTCGAGCAGAAGCCGAAGTCCTGGTGACGTGGCACGTGGCGGATCCAGCTGGGTACAGGGAACGGCTGAAGAGCTTTTCTTTAAACGGGAAGCGAGTTATATAGATAGTAAATAGATGTAAATAGATATAAATAGATATTGATAAAATTCTAGCCCCTTGTCGCCCAAACTGAGAATCGCATGCCACGCAAATATGGTACTCCACATACCTGAGCGGGAACGCACGCCAGAAGTTTAACACACTCCACAAATTTAGTGCACTCCGCAGAGGTAATACATACCATGCAAACATCGTACCCCACAACACTCCACATATAGATACATATAGTGGCTCTAGGCTATCTACAGGGAGATGACATATAATTACATAATTATACGTAGTGATTGTGAAGGGAAAAAACGGTATAAATAATAAATAAATAAATAAATAAATAAATAAATAAATAAATATATAAATATATAAATAAATATATACACACACACACTGTATGACTGTATATATCAAATAGTTACTCGATGTGGATGATGTTGATGATGATGAGGAGGAGGATGAACATGCTGGCTCACGACCATGGTGCAGCATGTGTTTGTGATGCTGATGGTACTCCCTGGCCCTAAGGCAAATGCACACAACTCCGATGTCAGGTCGCTTGGGTCCTGGGGTCATGGGCCAAGCCAAAGAGATTTGGGAGGATTCAGTGAGTAGATGTGATAGATATTGATAGATGTAGATATTATACATATATATATATATATGTGTATACTGTAAATATATATATATATATATATATATATTTAAACACACACACATATATATATATATATATATGATGTTTTATATTTACAGTAATTAAAAGTTGAACTCATGGGTTTTAGCTGTTACCCTATCACTGGATTGGGTGATCTGGTGCACCAGGGAGACCGACCTTCCAAGCCCAGCATGGACTACCCACCGCCAGCAGCGTTGCTTGGGCGGGTTGCGCACCTTTCATTTTTTTTGCTGGGAAAATTCGGAACAATCCAATGATGGATGATCCTTGATGTCTGTGAATGGTTGGCGGGTCAGCCACTTTTTTCGGGGCATGACATGGCCCGAACCAACACGGGAAGCTGAAAAACTGATTCTGGAGATTTTTGGAGCAGTTTTTTCTTGCTTTGGCAGGTCATAGATGAACGAAGCACCGGGAAAAAAGCACCTGTGCTTGCCTGAAAATGGGATACCCCACAATCCAATGGAACTATCACCATCTTACTTCATTGTCATTCATTTTCCCTATCAGAGTTGCCATTTTCAATTTTTAGGTATACCACATTTTCAAAGAAAGCCATAGGCCAAGGTGGTAAAGCCACATATTTCCCGCCCGGCATTCCTAACGCGACGTGCCGTTAGGTCGATCGCTTGGCCGCGGTACCTGTCCTGGCTGGGATTCACCGTGGGAGCCCTGTCGGGCCTGCGACGGAAGCTCTTTGGGGGAGCGCAGGCGCGGCGTGGTGTGCGGTGCTGAGTGGGGGTGAGGGAAACCCCAAATACTCTCAAATATAGTTGGACATATTATATAAGTTGCTACTTGAGAATCTGGATGTAAATATCTGAAGATCATTCATGTAATTTATTGGACATGTTAGAGGTATTTTGATTTGCTATCAAGATTTCCAGACGATTGAACATCTGGAAATGTATCCGACTCTGAGTAGCGCATCTCAGCCTGGAATGGGGTTGAGTTCCAGAGCTGGGTTTAGCGACTAGCCTGGCTCATAGTCATGTTGCATGTCCACCTTTCCAACCTAGGGGTTTGCGTCTAGCCCCCAAACATTCCCCTGGCTTACCTTTGGGCAAACTGAGATATACTCAGACATGGAAAACCGATGGTTTTTCCATGCTTTTCCCATATTCTCCCGGGAAATGATATTATATATATATAGATGAATTTGCTGTATCTATTGCTATATCTTGATATATCCTGGTAATTGTCCATATGCCAATTCCTCACCTAAAAGACATCGGCACCGCCAGGCCGTGGCGTTAGATCCAGCCCTGCCCTTGGCGGTGCGGCTGCAACTCATCAATTCACGTAGAGATCTTCGATCCAAGGCCTGGGACTTAGTGGGTTTGCTATTGAACATGGCCATAGAAATAGTGGATTAACCCAGCTATAAAATCATTAAAAATTGTGATTTTCCGTAGTTATGTGGTATGTTTACCAGAGGGTAAGGTTACGAAGAAATTTGCCATGCTTTTGCTCAGTCTCCGTGATTTGCCATGTGCGCTGAGCCAATGGCTTCAGAGATTGATGACTTTTCCACCTCTCAGTCTGAGATGGGGAAGGCCTACTCTGATTATTTTTGGACTGGTATTATTAATGAATCACCTGTTCATTACTACATGTGTAATCATGGTATGATCCAGTGATATAGAACAGTCGGAAAGCCGGAAATTATGGGAAAACAATGCAAAACATCATATTTCACTACCGCCCTGGAAATACTTTTCCATCTTTTTTGTTGTCCCGAGAAAGCTGTTTTCACAACTCTTAATAATGAATCACAATGAAATCTATATCGTCTAGATCCACATTACGATTAAAATGAGATAGCTATACGTATAACTTCATTAATATTACCTATACCATTACTAATTACCAGTCAACTCTTGTCATTTTACATCTATATCATGATAATAATCACACATCAATGATACATACCATCAAACAACTAAATTTATACAAGTTGACAATAGTTATTATATATTTACCGTTACCATTGTTTACCATCACAGCTATACATTTTCCATGGGGATCATCGAAATCGCCAGCACCAGGCCCAGCTGGCGCCTCGGAGCTTCCGCCAGATGCTGCGCAACTCCGCCGACACCCTGGAGGAAGTGCCCGCGCTGCTGGTGCGATGCCGCGGGGATGGGGAGATCGTGGCGATTTTCCACGGGAAAATCATGGGAAATTTCCGGCCATTAGTAAGTGCTAGGTTGGTAGGTGATGGGACGTTTCCCAACGATTTATGGCGATTTATTTTTTTTTGGAATTGGAAGATGGAAGCGAAAGGGTCGATTTTTCCTTGCCGACTTTGACTACCGGAAGGTAAACATGGTGATTTGAGCCATAAAACACGAATAAACATGACCTCTTTGTCCAAGAAATATTAGGCTTTACCATGAAAAGTTGATTTTGGCAAAAAACGGGTGATTTAGCAATTCAACGTATGCTAACTTTGCTTATCTTGGTTCAAGGTAGGAAACTTTTGGGACTTTCTGTTGTTCGGGCTGATGAGCCCTGAGTCATCTTCCAAACGTGGACAAAATAAAAAACCAAATTCAACGGATTGCCATATTATAGCAATTTTCACAGTGAGCCAATGAGATATTAATTGTCAGGGCTTGAACATGTTGCCATACATAAGTTTTGATCTGATTTGTCCCTGGGAAGGTACATGTTGTCTCTACTCCATAAATTGGCAATGGACCATTTGATTCCATCTTTGTTTGTCTCGCATAGGGTAGAAGGTTTGCGAGAATTGAGGCCGTTTGCACTCTTTACATATCTGTACATTATAGGCAATGAACCTACGGGCAGAATAGCAGGATTGGTAGGAGAGGTCAGCACTTGGAACGTCGAAGAACCACAAGTTGTGGCTGAATTCGATTGCCATGGCTCAGACTCCCGAAGACAACACAGACCAACAGATCCTTGCAGGAGATACAAGCTTTCCGTTGCTGCCAAATGTGCTGTTGTGTGTTGTTTGAAACAAGTTTATCATGACAGAGGCGATTCATCAAATTTGTCAATGTGCATCGAAATTAGAAAAGGTGCATCAGTTGAGAGTGCGAATCAACTCAGGATCGTGGACACTTTCAAACAAATCAGGGGGGTGGCTCCACAAGATGCAGGAGAAGGAGCTGCTGAGATGTGGGAAACAGCGTACACGATCCAGAAGTTTGCGAAGGAAATCCAGGCCTTGCTGTGCCCTGACCCAGGCGAGGCATCCGCAGAGGTGCAGGACGATGTGGCATTGGGTGGGCAGAACAGAAGCTGAAGGTCACCAATTGATATGACTATCAGCAATTTTTATGACACCTGATGCAGCCTAGGCCTAGTACATCGTGTTTTCCAACCTAGAGACTGGTCACTGTATGTCACTGTATAAATCTGTATATTGTATACTTAATCAAGACGACGTTCGGCACGAGTTTGGGGTGTCTTTGCATGGAGATTCAGTCACCTTTCCCCACAGGTCCAAGGTCCGTGCTTTTGTTGGCCGCTAGGACCAGGAGCAGGGCGACGTCTTGCTCGTCTTTGCAGCAATTCACCAATGTGCAAAGGACATGGCAGATCTAGATGCAAACCCAGATGCCCATCCAAACTGGAGATCCGCCAGTGCCAAAATCATTTGCCTCTCTCGGAGAGCTCAGGAACTGCTACAGCTGCTACAGCCCTTGCTGCCGGTGGAAGTTTTCCCTCCAGAGTCGGATGTCTTCACGCATCCGACCGTCTCATGTCACCCACAGGCCCCAGTAGCTGGAAGTGCTACTGCGGTGACGTGGTGGGTCACAGCAGAGGCACGGACACAAGGGGAGGTCGAGGCTGCCCACCTTGGCGAGGAGAGCTATGCAGGGGACTCAGGGACATTAGAGGCCAAAATGCGTCTGGTTGGTGATTAGTGGTTTCAAGATGTTTCAAAATGTTTCAGTTGAAGATCTTTCATTCTTTGCTTTGATATTTAGGATGAGCCCAGATGACATAGATTTTTCAGGAGACTTGTTCAAACAACAACCAGGCATGCTTTGGAGCACAAACTGCTTGAGCTGCGGGCCAAGCAAGGGCACAGGGATCATCCAGACATTGCTGTGACACTTCATGAGCTAGGTTTGGTGAGTAGCCAGGCCGGAGAAATCAAGGGAGCAAAGCAGCAGCTGGAGGAGTCCTTGCAAATGCAGCGCTCCTTGCATGGAGAGAAGGATCATCCAGACATATTTGCTGTGACGCTTGCCTCGCTAGGTGTGGTGAGTCGCCAGGCTGGAGATCTCAAGGGAGCAAAGCAGCAGCTGGAGGAGTCCTTGCGAATGGTGCGCTCCTTGCATGGAGACAAGGATCATCCAGGCATTGCTGCGACACTTCATGTGCTAGGTGTGGTGAGTTGCCAGGCTGGAGATCTCAAGGGAGCAAAGCAGCAGCTGGAGGAGTCCTTGCGAATGAAGCGCTCCTTGCATGGAGATAAGGATCATCCAAACATTGCTGCGACACTTCATGAGCTAGGCATTGTGAGTCGCAGAGCTGGAGATCTCAAGGGAGCAAAGCAGCAGGTGGAGGAGTCCTTGCGAATGGAGCGCTCCTTGCATGGAGACAAGGATCATCCAGAGATTGCTGGGACACTTCATGAGCTAGGCGTGGTGAGTCGCGAGGCTGGAGATCTCAATTCAGCAAAGCAGCAGCTGGAGGAGTCTGTGCGAATGAAGCGCTCCTTGCATGGAGACAAGGATCATCCAGACATTGCTGCGACACTTCATGCGCTAGGTGTGGTGAGTTGCCAGGCTGGAGATCTCAAGGGAGCAAAGCAGCAGCTGGAGGAGTCTTTGCGAATGAAGCGCTCCTTGCATGGAGATAAGGATCATCCAGACATTGCTGCGACACTTCATGAACTAGGAGTGGTGAGTGTCAAGGCTGGAGATCTCAAGGGAGCAAAGCAGCAGCTGGAGGAGTCCTTGCGAATGAATCGCTCCTTGCATGGAGACAAGGATCATCCAGAGATTGCTGGGACACTTCGTGAGCTAGGCGTGGTGAGTCGCGAGGCTGGAGATCTCAATTCAGCAAAGCAGCAGCTGGAGGAGTCCTTGCGAATGGTGCGCTCCTTGCATGGAGACAAGGATCATCCAGGCATTGCTGCGACACTACACTCGCTAGGCATTGTGAGTCGCCAGGCTGGAGATCTCAAGGGAGCAAAGCAGCAGCTGGAGGAGTCTTTGCGAATGAATCGCGCCTTGCATGGAGATAAGGATCATCCAGGCATTGCCGCGACACTTCATGCGCTAGGCGTGGTGAGTCGCCAGGCTGGAGATCTCAAGGGAGCAAAGCAGCAGCTGGAGGAGTCTGTGCGAATGAAGCGCTCCTTGCATGGAGACAAGGATCATCCAGACATTGCTGTGAGACTTCACCAGCTAGGCGTGGTGAGTGTCGAGGCTGGAGATTTCAAGGGAGCAAAGCAGCATCTGGAGGAGTCTTTGCGAATGAATCGCTCCTTGCATGGTGATAAGGATCATCCAGGCATTGCTGCGACGCTTCATGAGCTAGGCATTGTGAGTCGCCAGGCTGGAGATCTCAAGGGAGCAAAGCAGCAGCTGGAGGAGTCCTTGCGAATGGAGCGCTCCTTGCATGGAGATAAGGAAGCCAGGCGCAAGTGGTACGAAGCATGGGCGATCAATCGGAAAACCCGATTTGTGAAATTACCTGACAATTTGCCGAAGTGACCCAGAGAATAGAAAAATAATGATGCAGAACCCCAGCGTTGACATGCAGGTTGCACACGAGAATGGCATTATAAGAGAGTAGAAAATCAATATTTTCACCAGTTGCGTTCCATTTTGTTTCATGTTTTTTTAATGTCTAAAATGCATGGTTACACTTTTATTGAGGACAGCGTTCCATGCAGAAATGCATTTAGGCATGACTTAGGCATGACTTCTTGGATACAGCGTTTACAATGGTAAATGCCATTCAAAAACACGCTAGGCATGACTTAGGCGTGACATTGTCGTTTCCCTGTAGCCTCTAGAACGCTGCTCTCAAGCTTCTCAGTCTCCAGGTGTTTGGTGACTGCCTCAGCGCAGCCCTTACAGTATGTTATATGATATCATATATCTTACCCCAGAGACACCACAACAAGATGGTGCAGGAAATTGCAGGGATAGGGGGAGCCTCTGACACCTTCGGCCAGGTCACTGTAGCAGTGCTGGCCGGCAACATGCTGGCACCCAAACAGGCACGTTGCAATTGGGAAATATTGGGAAAGATCAGTTGATATCAGTTGGGTCATTTGAGATTTCTATAGATTTCTTCTATTTTGTTCTAATGTGGGTAAAACAATGCCATAAACCATCCCCCAGTCATCAACATGTTTAAAGGTGGTATGGTATGGTTACCCATTCCTTTAAATGAGTGGTTTATGGCATTTGTTTTAACCACATTAGTTAGATATCCCATGATTATACGATGATTAACCATCACTATCCTACCCTCTGGTCATTTAACATAACTATGGAAAATCACAATTTATGGTGAATGTTCCCATGAAAAGTGGTGATTTTCCATAGTTATCTTAGTTTATCACAGGGTACATTGTGTATTCTCATGGAATCGCAGCTGCCCCAGGGCTTGACGGACTTTCGGCAACTGGGAGAGGCTGAGGCGCTCCTGTTCACTGCAGGGAAGCGCCTAGGCCGGCGAAAGATGTCGGAAGGTCCATGGAGCTGGGAAACTCTATCATTTTTTTGGGGGAACACGCGAAATGATGAATTAAGATGAATTAAGATGAAGTAGAACATTATGAAATGAAACTTGTTTAAGTTTAAAGTATGAACATCCCAGGTTTGGGGTTGAAGATGAACCCAACTGAGCAATGTAGCCCATTGTACTGTAAGCTTTGGTAATGTAGCTCGGCGATAGGACATCCCACCAGTCTTCGTTCATCCTATCAGACATAATGGTTTTAAGGGATGACCAAACGGTGGCTTTCTGTAGATCTTCATGATGTTCCAATCGGCAAGAGTGATAGAAACCGGGGATCCAGGGTTTCACCCAAGACTGAACAAACAATTCGCTCCAATAGAATACAGATTCGGATCTTCACATCTGTGAACGTTGGTGGTTGTACATGTCTGTAGTGGAAATTTCCACATTCTTGTTGGCTCCTTTCAGGCTTTGCTTTTTAAGATGTGATTGAACATATAAATCATCGCACACCTGCTGCTCTCCGCACTGTCGTGATTCAAAGAAGCGTCTTTTTCGCTTGGGGTAGGATTGGTAAGCCAGATGCCCCAAGTTCTTGGAAGGTCATCCCTCTTGATTTCCAGTTTTTTTGAACCACCATCTACACCGTTCACCCCCCTGAACCACACTAAAATTCAATCTCGAACTTTAAAAAACAAATCAGTAAAAAACAAATCAGCAAAGTGCATCTCCCTCACAAAAAAAGAATCCAATGGGAAACTCAGCTTCTGGTTTGGGTTGCTGGTGCCTAGGCTCCACTTGGGTATGCAACCTGAGACCAGTGGCAAGATGCGGCTGTTGGGGGGCGACTTCTTATATGCTGAGGCGCAGTCATGGCAGGTAAAAACGTGCCATGGACGTTGGTCGATTTGGGATATAATATTTGCATCTTTATCTAACATGATCTAACATTTAACGTCTATAGTTAGCTGTTATTGGTTAAAATTAGAATAGATGTTCTTGGGTCCTTACCATCCAATCATCTCATATAATCTCCGTTTTGGGCGGTCTTATATGGCCAATGCCATGGTGAGGATGTAATTGACCCCCCAATCATACTGTCATAATGGGGTTGGATCCGTAGGGTGCAGGCACATTCAAACCTGGTTGCATTCAGATCCACTCAGTGGGTCTCCCGGGGAAAACCAATTAGATATAGTATATTGACGGGTTCTCGCTGCTGCCTTCGGCAGTCTTGACAGATGGCGATATATATATATATATAATATACAGAGAGAGAGAGAGAGAAATGGGTGTTGAGGACTTATGCCGTAGAGTTGGGCAGACAAAACTTCATGCAAGCGCAGTGATTGATTTGGTCCCAGCAAAATTAAGAAGAACCGAGCTATTGGTAGTATTCAAACCTCATTCTTAGCGATTTCATATAGTCGCGTTTGCACACTCCTGCTCGATTTATCCAAATTTGTTGGTCGTAGGAGAGGCAAACATCTATAGGTTTTGAGGGTGAACTCGCGTCACAGCCAGTCATGGTATTCGCCACCGCAGGGCCAATGGATGCTTGCGGAGCTTGGATCTTTGCCGGTGATTCGCCTCACCAGTCGGATGATCCAGGCGCGGGGTCTGCCATCTCTGGAATGCTTCTGAAGGCAAGTGCAATTGAGAACAAACCATCCCCTTTATGCAATCTTTCGCCCAAGCCATAGTCAATCCCCCCACACTTGTCCCACTTTCTCTGGGGTGTGCGGCACTGCTCCAATTTTCAGTGGATCACGCGGCCAGGACGTGTCGGATGGCTCGTCAAAGGGGGGAGCTGCCCCTGCAGACATGGAGACTGAGCCAAGCGTTGGACAAGTAGGCAGGGCATGGGGCAAGGACTGTGAAGATGTGCCCTGTGGGGCATGGAGAATCATCCATAGGGATCCAACAGACATAGGGCTTAGGGCGCTGGTGGGAATTAGGAATGGTGGGCATTGTCCAAGATTTTATATGAGGCAGGGGGCCGAGATCAAACACCACTATTCTTTACCTAAATAGTTGGGCAGAATGTGTTGGATGTCAAGACCAGGGAGGAGAGTTATAGAACCATACTCAACCATTACACTATGAATGGCAAGATAATCTGCGTTGGCCGACTGACTATCTCCCAGAATGATGGGTCAAAAGCATCATCCACTCATATTTTTCCGCCCTTATGTTACGCCACGCTGTTTTTATGATCTTTATATAAAGAGGCAAATTTCGAAGAAGGAATCCCTATCTAGCATTTCCATATTTTCGAGGTAACTGTTGGTTTGACTATGTTTGACTCTTCACATCTCTTCACTTTTCTGCTGTTTGGTTCTTTTACATCCTGTGACTGTGCTGATCTTGCGCAGGTGCCAAAGCGGCGCTGCATGCTGCCTATGTCCGTGTGGGCTGTGGCTTGGCTCATGGAATTCCCAAAGATGTACCCTTTATGATGAACTATACAACCTGGTTGGTGGTTTGGAACATTTTTTATTTTCCCATATTATATTGGGAATAATCATCCCAACTGACTAATATTTTTCTGTTGGTGAGTTCAGCACGCCATGCAGGCTGGACGCATCGCTAGCTCGACTAGCATTCAACCGGAAAGTGGAAAACTGACTAATATTTTTCAGAGGGGTTCAAACCACCAACCAGTAACAGTTACATTTGCTATGGAAGATCATCGAACTAAGTGGGTCATGGCTTCCGTAGCTATGGACAACTACCAGAGGGTAGGGTTTGAAGACGATCTTGAAAGTGGAGATGGATGGAAATTGCCATTTCCGAGGCTACATGTTAGTTTTGTGAGGTTTGAAAGGCATACGTTTGGGTGAGTAGGGAAGGGATTTGCAACACCCAAAGGGCGGGAGTTCTGTGGGGACAAAACCAATCTGGGTAGATAGGATGGATATGAGGCAAAGGGAATAAGAACTTGTGGATGATGGCTCGCAGTACCGCCAGTCAAAAATATCACCAAGACTCCTTTGCGCCAATGATTCCGAACAGGTTATATATACATAGTTACGTAGTTCATGGATGTGAATGGTCTATATTACAGTATCACTTCTCACTTGCCACCATAATTCACCATACATCTACATGTGGGACCATTTCATATCTCCATATTTTTTTCCCATTGCAATTTAATGCCTGTAATATTCTACATATCTCAAATACTAATATATATATATATATATTAATGGTTTCTAACGATGTGATTCATATTTCCCAATGGCCCATGGTTTCCGGGTAAAAAGATCCCAGCCAAACCAATCCATTGTTGATCGGAATTTCAACAATGGTTTTTACTATTTATAATATATGTTTCCCATCTATTTTCCATCTTTTCTCCATCTATTTTCCACATGTAGTCTATCATTTTCCGGCTATTTTTCACACATGTGTCACATGTGCCATTTTTTTTGGCATGTATTTCCCCTTAAAAGATATCCACATTAAAGATATCCCCATCATCATCCCCAGGAAAAACCCATATATTTTTGCCATGTATTTCCCCATCTGCCATTAGAAACATCCATGGCAGCACCACATCTCCACATTCCCGTCCCAGGCTACTTCAGCGCTGTGGCCTCCGGTGCCGCATGGCTCAGCGGCGCAGCCAAGCCCGTTGTCAAGGCGTTGCGGAAGATGCTCGGACGACGGCACCGGGGGGGTGGTGGCTGCTGGTGGGGACATCAATCCCATTAGGTTGGCTGAGGAATCCATTTTCATAGATTTTTCATGGATTTTAATGATGAGATTCTATTTGTGAATGTTAGAGATCTGATTTGACTTTTTTTGTTGATGGATCTTGAGTGTTTTTGGGCAGGAGTTGATTTGATATGATTTGACCCTTTCACATTTTACCCTGCTGGCGGTGCTGAGGTATGGGACGAATCTGGGCACTGCCCTGCAACTAGCGCAGTTTCGAGATGATGCAGCCTCGCAGGAGCGGGCGGTTGCAGGATTGGGGGCTGCAGTTCAAAAAATATTCAACATTGGTTCAAGAAATGCAGTTAGTGGGGTGAAATATATTGAAATATCCTAATTTATGGAGTTTGACAGCCATGGGTATCATACTGCAATTGACAAACCCAACTGTGCCCCAAGATGGAGGAATGCAGCAGACCAAGCCCCCTTCGGCCATCCCAGCGAGATGCTAAGACTCTCAAGGTCACGAAGTGCACAATGTTCAGGTATATTATATGTATATATTATATATTATATAACAAATAAATAAAAATGAAAAAACATAGATAAATAAATAAATAAATAAATATATATATATAATATTTATTCTGTTTTCAGTGTAGTTTCCTTCCCCTGACCATGGTACAGTGACCCAGCCAGGATGCAGCCCTTTGGCTGGCCAGATCCGCGCAAGAAAAGCTGAGAGGCAGCATCATGGGACATCTGCAAGGCAGGGATGGGCATCTAAGACTCAGGATGAAATGAGATCATCCGGGATGCCAAGGGAGAAATCCTGGGTAATTTGGGCCCCAGTGGAGGGTCGAATTGTTCAGAGTGGGCCAGTTGTAAGTGCGAGGAAGCTGCTGATGATGTTTCCAAGTTATGGCGCATGCGGACAAGGTTCGAATTTTTGCCCCACCACCAAGTGACGAAATGATCCAGGCATCCCAGCGCCAGGTTCGGCGGCGCTGAAGGGCATGCGGCGCTTGGCTCACCGCGTGGAGCGCTCCTGCGCCCATAACCTGCAGGAGCCACAGGGAGGGACATGGAAAATCCCAGTTTTTTGCCAGTGAAAGGGGAGAGTAGCATGACTAATGCATCTAATCCTGGCTAAAATTGGGATAGTCAATCCTTTCCTTTCATCCCATAGAACAGTTAAGAAGTTCTCAAGTCACGGGAGAACTTCTGGTATTTTCACCAAAGTTTCAAAGTCCCTATTCCAAAACGAGAACATGTCATTCGAGGGCGTCATCATACGATTTCGACGTTGGACCCGCCAGGAGTTGCTGAGAAAACCCGAGAACGCGGCCATCAAAGGCTTGACCTTCTCGGACGTAGACTCCATGGAACAGATGCGCCTTGGGCGGCAGGGTCGCAGCAGGGTTGTTTCAACTCTTGGGCGCCTGTTCAAGCACACTACAAGATACCCATAAGGTCAACTTCAGATTGATCAACTCCGTTGCTTTATTCTTTGGGTTACCATAGTGATGAACAATGATAAACATATATGATTCAATGATATATGATAAAAGTTGGTCCCTCCCTAGATTCGTAAACTGATATATCCTGGTGATTTGGTGAATTTTTGGCTTACAATCCCCTTGAGTGGCAGCACATGGCAGCACCATCTTCCCAGCTTCAGCTCTCAGCTCCAGGTTGGAAGACCTCTACCTCCGCCCGGACGAGTCCAGCGGCGGCCGATTTGAACTCAAGGGCATGGGCTTCCGCCGCGACCAGGTGGGGTCGCTTGTTTCGGGTGAGCCCATCCGTTCCTTGCCCTGGCATGGATGTCAAGCAACAGTTACCCTTAGGCAAGCGAACCTGACTATGGAAAATCACTGTTTGTAGTTGATCATGTCAAAACGAACAACCATTCCTCAACAAATCTTTATTAATAGCAAGTGCCATTGTCAGTAGGATCTTCTTTTAAAACCGTTCTCATGATATTTGTTCATCATACTACAGGTTATTATATTTCTTTACATAGTTGACATGGTTCTTACTTTATCGTCATTGATCATCATAACATTGCAAGATCTGCCCAACTTCCATGATGATCAATATTTGATAACACACAATTTCACATTATATCTACCTGCCTATCTTTCTATCTATCTATTTGCTTATCTATATGTTTAGTGATCAATTATATTCAATTATACAATAACTATTTCTACCATGGAAAACCCTCCCCATGGCACCACCCTTCCAGCTCCAGCTCCAGGTCAGCGACGAGGGCCTGCAGTGGCTCATCGCCCGGGGCCTGGCGGACGACGCGCTGCCGGCCTCTAAGGAGCCGGCCCCCAGCTGGCCGCCCGAGGGGCCCAAGGCTGGCACGGATGGGACTTTGAAAATGGAGATTCAACGGGATTTATCCAACCAAAATGGTGATTTAACGGAATTTATCCAACCAAAGAAAGGGACTAAATGGGATTTTAATGGAGATTTGATGAGACTTCAGGGAATTTGATGGGAGTTTAATGGAGATTTAATTTCACCAAATGGTGATTCCATATAATTTCACGGGATTTGGAAGAGACGTAGGTACATTAAAAAAGATACGCCCAATTGGAAAAAAAACATGAAAAATCCAGTTGTAGATGAATTGCTTTTTTGATCTTTTTGGAGATGACTAATCGGTACATCCAGTTGGAAAAAAACAGTGGTATAGATGAATAGGTGGATATACTAGATTCATATGATTGAGAGAATGGTGTTTGAAACCTGGGGGAGGCTGGGGAGGCAACTGATTGAATGATGGTATTGGTTGGAGTTATGAGTTATGAGCCATGTTTATACATTTTTTCAGCTGTTTGTGCTGTCTATGTTTTTTTCTTGGCAAGGGTTTTCGCAGTACGAAGATCTCACGCGTATCACTGATGCATTGCGATAGTCTCTTGGATGAAGGACAAATGATTTGCATTAGAGCCATCACCAGTAACACCACCACTGTCAAAACATGGTTGTCCCATAAAAAGGGATTGGTCATCAATCCGTAGACTAGACCATGTTTAGACTTTAGACCATGTTTTGACCATGGCACATGAAATTTGCAGTGTGTGACTGTGTGACCACTGATAAGACCAAATCGAACAGAGGTCCCCAAAGAGAGCGTTTTTTTTTTTTAAATTAGGGGGTTGATGTCGAGTAGGTTTCTCTGACTGGTGACTGGTGCCCACAGGCAGCCTTGCAGTTTGCCTCGAAGTGTGTTGGCAAGGCCACCGAAGCTGTGATGTTTGTTGCCACAATGGTAGTGTGAACAACCAACCTACTTGGACCCCAAATGGATCCAAATGGTAGGATGAATAGGAATAATCAGACAACCATCCTACGTCGTCCTAAGGATACCCCAGTGGATATCGCAAGTTTGGCTGCCAGGAATTGGTGGCTGTGAATGGCAACTTGGATGGGGAGAGGCTCTCCCAACCCGCTTCCAGCGACCTAGTGCCTTGGATGCCTTGCTGTCAGCTGGTGCCATGGGTTCCAATAAGAGCCCAAACTGGCAGGGCAGAAAGGATTTGCTGATGTGAGTTGATGTGCACTCTTCTAGTTGAGGTGATCATACTCATAGTAGCATTCGTAACATCATAGTCATGTTCCCTTGCTTCTCATCTCGCTGCCCAGGTGAGGGAAGAGGTGGTGCGGCTCTTCAAGTCAGGCGAGGCTGCTGGATTGTTTTCAGGGGATCCCCGCAAACATCAATGGTTTTCTCAATAGAATCGGAATTTGATTGAGATTGGTGGGAATTCAAACCGGCAAATATGGGGATACAAAGCAGTTACGAACCCTCATTTTGAGTTGGCCATTTCGGCTGTATTACTGTAGTATTGTCGGTAAACTTACCACTGTCAGTGGTTTAAAATCCCTATTTCTTGTTGCTTCGAACCCAGTAAGCTCCCTGCCCTGCCGTTGGGCAGTCAGGTGGCAAACGCTTGCGGCCGGTGTTGACCCTGTTGACAGCTCGCGCCACGGGGGCCACTGAGGTGGGGAGGAACTTTGGAAAGAGAGCTAGTCCAATGTACAGCTGTTGAGCTTGAAAAACTCGTTCCAATTCGTTCCAATTTGCAGTGTAGTAAAGTTCCCATGCCTTGGCCCCCAGCTACCTCGACAGCAAGGCGGCCATGGCGGACGTAGTCTCCCTGGCGGCCGCAGTGGAGGTGTTACACTCCGCCTCCTTGGTGCATGTGCCTTGGTGGGCTGTGGCCCATGGGATGCTGTATCAAACGAAAGATATGCTGATATTCTATTCATCAACCAATATCCAAAAGATAATTAACTATAGACAGTCAAGCCAGGCCAAATGAACATAGATCAACCTCCTCATCATCCACACCATCATTTTCACCATGTTCCATCATCCTCATTTTCATGTTCTTGCTCGCAATCATTTCCACCAATCAATATAAATATTTGTCATGATTTCTATGGTTATCATATTTTTTTAAAATCATTTTTCTGCATCCGATTTATCTATGTTTTTTTTTCTATGTTTTATCATGGTTCATCTCACTGTTTTACTCATCACCACCCGCCGAGGACGACATCCTGGACGAGGCGGACACCCGTCGCGGCGAGCAGGCGGCACATGTGCGGCTGGGCGAGCGCGCGGCGGCGCTGGTGGGGGACTTCCTGTGGCCTGGCAGAACAGTGGCCGGTCAGTGGCTGGATGGGAAACCATCTGGCAATCGGCGCAAAAAATCCAACCTGGCAGAAATCCACTTAAGTCGAATCGATTTTTAGCAGAGTTTTTGATTGAAAGATAATCTTTGAGCTTTAGCTTTAAATATTCTGTGTTTTTTCTTATTTTTCGCGGGTTTGCCGGAGGGTATGCATCACAAAATCCATTGCATTTTACGGAGAGTGTTTGGCAAAACTGTGACATGCGGCATGCGACCTTCTTTTTTTTTGGAGATGGCATTGGGGAGTCATTTCTTCCGTGTAATGTGGAACACACGCAGCCTGCAGAGTCCACAGTTGCATCTTGCACATTGACTATGGGGCCTCTTCCACTTTCACAGTCTCCATGACTACCCGCTGGCCTCCCTGCTGAATTTCTGTGGGCAAAATTACTTTTTCCAGGCTTTGGAGCGACGTCGCATGTTTGAGGCTCGTCTGCTTGGCAAAAGACCAAGCGAGAAACAATGAGAAACATCATGAAGCATCAAAGCATTCTACTAGGCAGTTCAATTGGCTGACAACCTATCCTTTCGGAATGCCTCACAGCAATCCCATTGAGGGTCCCAAAGCTCCTTCCCCCAGCCATACCATGCTTTTTGAAACAGTAGATCCAGAATTGCCAGACAGGATATGATTTTATTGCTTCCGCATCGTGTTTAATACAGAGTTTGCATGAGTTTGCCCCGAGAGGTTGGTGCAAAGACAAAATTATATAAAATTACTGTATGACCTCCGCGTTGCCAACACATGGAACCACAAATTTGTTCCGCGCCAATGCCCAGTGCCATGGCTGAGCCCTCCATAGATGAACAGATTCTTGGAGAAGTTGTTTGGATACAGGTGCTAATGTTATTTTGGGGGCTGTCCATTTCATGAGACCCAATGAAGAGCTATTTATGCTTCTAAAACATATCCTGAAAGCATTTGTGTTTACCTTTGCTCATGTTGCACCCAATGAACCGGACCTAGGATTGTGGAGAAGTTCAGGGAAATCAGGGCGCTGGCCGCTCAACGTGAGGATCAGGAGAAGGTTGATATGTGGGAAGATGCAGGCATGATCCGAAAGCTTGCGAAGGAGATACAAACTTTGCTTGGTACTGCCGCAGGCCACGGCCAAAGATATCCAGAGATGCAGGACCGGGGCCATGGTTGGGTGGGCATGCTCATTTTTGTCAAACCAAGAAGACCTAGTGAACCACATCGGAGGAGATTTGTGTTCAAACTAGCAAGTCATCGTGAATTTCAAGGAGCCGGCACATATGTTTCCCCGTAGTCGAGACGGTTCTATGTATTTCAGTCCCTGCATATTTTGCCATAGCGCCAGGCGGGAGGTGGTCTCTTGGATGTGTTTGCGGCAGCTCATGACTGTGCAAAAGAGATGGCCAGCTTAGATGCAAAACCACGCTGGAGATCAGCTTGTGGAAAAATTGTTGAGGCCAGTCGCAGAGCTGAGCAGTTCCTACAGCCATTGCTGTGGATGGAGGTTTTCCCTGAGCAGCTGGGTGCAGATGCCACTGAGTCAGTTGCCTTCACACATCCCACAGCTCAATCTCACCCACAGGCACCCCTTGAAGGAAGTGCTACTGCAGTAACGCAGAGTGTCGCAGCAGAGACACGGACACAAGGGGAAGCTCAAGCAGAAGACTTTCCTGACGAGAACTCCGGGGGTGGAAACGAGGCAAAAATCCAAAATTTGGAGCACAAACTGCTGGAGTTGAAGAACAAACGCAGCCATGAAGATCACCCGAACATTGCTGCGACACTTCATGAGCTAGGCGTGGTGAGTTGCCAGGCTGGCGATCTCAAGGGAGCAAAGCAGCAGCTGGAGGAGTCCTTGCGCATGAAGCGCTCCTTGCATGGTGATAAGGATCATCCAGACATTGCTGGGACACTTCATGAGCTAGGCATGGTGAGTGTCGAGGCTGGAGATTTCAAGGGAGCAAAGCAGCAGCTGGAGGAGTCCTTGCGAATGAAGCGTTCCTTGCATGGTGATAAGGATCATCCAGACATTGCTGGGACACTTCACTCGCTGAGCATGGTGAGTGTCGAGGCTGGAGATCTCACTTCAGCAAAGCAGCAGCTGGAGGAGTCTTTGCGAGTGGAGCGCTCCTTGCATGGAGATAAGGATCATCCAGACATTGCTGGGACACTTCGTCAGCTAGGGGTGGTGAGTCGCTGGGCTGGAGATCTCGAGGGAGCAAAGCAGCAGCTGGAGGAGTCTTTGCGAATGGAGCGCTCCTTGCATGGAGATAAGGATCATCCATACATTGCTGCGACACTTCATGAGCTAGGCGTGGTGAGTTGCCAGGCTGGCGATCTCGAGGGAGCAAAGCAGCTGCTGGAGGAGTCTTTGCGAATGAAGCGCTCCTTGCATGGAGATAAGGATCATCCATACATTGCTGCGACACTTCATGAGCTAGGCGTGGTGAGTTGCCAGGCTGGCGATCTCGAGGGAGCAAAGCAGCTGCTGGAGGAGTCTTTGCGAATGAAGCGCTCCTTGCATGGAGATAAGGATCATCCAGGCATTGCTGCGACACTTCATGAGCTAGGCCTGGTGAGTTGCTGGGCTGGCGATCTCAAGGGAGCAAAGCAGCAGCTGGAGGAGTCTTTGCGAATGGAGCGCTCCTTGCATGGAGATGAGGATCATCCAGACATTGCTGTCACACTTCGTCAGCTAGGCGTGGTGAGTCGCCGGGCTGGAGATCTCAAGGAAGCAAAGCAGCAGCTGGAGGAGTCTTTGCCAATGAAGCGCTCCTTGCATGGAGATAAGGATCATCCAGGCATTGCTGCGACACTTCATGAGCTAGGCGTGGTGAGTTGCCAGGCTGGCGATCTCGAGGGAGCAAAGCAGCTGCTGGAGGAGTCTTTGCGCATGGAGCGCTCCTTGCATGGAGATAAGGATCATCCATACATTGCTGCGACACTTCATGAGCTAGGCGTGGTGAGTTGCCAGGCTGGCGATCTCGAGGGAGCAAAGCAGCAGCTGGAGGAGTCTTTGCGAATGAAGCGCTCCTTGCATGGAGATAAGGATCATCCAGGCATTGCTGCGACACTTCATGAGCTAGGCCTGGTGAGTTGCTGGGCTGGCGATCTCAAGGGAGCAAAGCAGCAGCTGGAGGAGTCCTTGCGAATGGAGCGCTCCTTGCATGGAGATAAGGATCATCCAGCCATTGCTGTGACACTTCATGAGCTAGGCGTGGTGAGTCGCCGGGCTGGAGATCTCGAGGAAGCAAAGCAGCAGCTGGAGGAGGATTCCAGCGGAGGCATTTGCATGTTGCCATGACATGTTCTTACTTTGTGTTAGGTATTGGCGGAGTAGATAGAGACGGGCGAGAGGCTGAAGAGCTCTGGTAGATTTTTTGCTGCAAGTTTTTTTCAATCTGTGTGGGCTCAACAGTGGCATGATGTCTACACACATCTTGGGGTCAAGCAAGATCAGGCCTTGCCATGCCATATGGCTTTCCAGAAGAGCATCGTGTCGGCACAAAACAGCTAGCTCCAAAACTGCCGGGGTTATTTCTGGTGGGGTGGTGCTTTGGTAATTAGGTGGCCACCGCAGGCAGGTCCATTTTGTTTATTATGTTTATTGTGGTGGGATTTGTGGGGGGGATTGTGTATGCAACACCGTGCTCGTCTATATGCGTTGAGGGACAAGTGTTGAACATTGTAATTTTTTTTTGCCAGACCATTTTGCGGATGCTTCCCTTGCCTTGCGCATGTTGAGACGTTTTCTGACGCTTGCTACTGCACCACAACTGAAGAATTGACAATGTTCTGATTTTCTTCAGTTGTTGGCTGGTCAGGTACCTAGTACAGCCTGATACAAGTGATACCCTCTGGTTATTTAACATAGCCATGGTATAGATGGCCCATAGAAATAGATTATTTACCTATTAAAAATGGGTGGATCTTTCCATGGCGAACTGTTAGTCATAACCAGAAGGTATATTATTAACCATCACTATAGCCATATAATAATATAATAACCATTAATATTTACCATTAACCATCATTAACGGTACTAGTGATAAGATGTTGCACACCAGCTGCAGGTTTGCGACCGCTTCCGTGCTGGTGGCGGAGATTGGGAGTTTACCCACGGTGCTGCTGATCTCCAAGGTGGGCCCTGGGATGGCGATCCAACGGGGGTCCAAACGGGGCACCTCGGAGATCGGAGATCGGAGATGATCGGTGGCATCTGGTTATGACCAACAGTTTGCCATGGAAAATCACCATGCTATTAATAGGTAAACCATCTATTTCAATGGGCCATCTATACCGTGGCCATGTTAAATAACCAGATGGTATATATAGTATAGTCCTTTCTCCTTCGATTGTAAAAGAGATTTGCTTTGAACATGTTGTCCATTCTTTTCCAAGTTTTTTCCCATGTGGATGGCTGTCTTCAAGACAGGATCGCATAAGAATTAGAATGGTTGGTCACGGGGCAACCTTGTCAAAATATGTCAAAATATGAAATCCTCCCATTTGTATGGATTGAAGGCCGCATGGGAAACCATTCGGAAACAGAGAATGCAGTTCAAGTCCCTTCATATTTTTTTATATTAATTACTCTATAGTATATTATAGGGAAATCTGCGCCCATGTGACTTTCGACACTTCTAGAAGTCAAGAGCTCGAACCCAGAACATCGCCACTTTCCAGACAGCAAATTCATTTCAGATTTTTGTTTCTTCATTTTTTGTGGTTTCCAGCCATCTCCCATTGAATCTCCATAGATTTTTTTGGAGGTTCCAACCAGATCAACCCACCTTCGCCCGAAGCGCTGTGCCGCTGTGCGGGTCTCTCCAGGTGGTGGCCGACTTTGGCCGGGGCGAACTGGCGCAGTCGGCGGTGCGCTTTGAGGCGGTGGACTATTCCTTGGAGGTGCGGCACGGATTCAACGGTTTTCCTTGGGTTGGGAGCTTCAAAATCTGAAAAACATATGTCTTTTCTTGGGAAAGGTATGATTTGCGTTTTGCAATTTGAGGATTTTTCCAACACTTGTATTTCCTACAGTAAATTTTGTAGGATTACAATTGGATATGATTTCCGCAAGCTGAAATAATTTTCCAAGATGTCTCCTGAAAACTTGGGATGATTACCTCCATCGAACTCACCTAAGTTTGGTGTTTGCCCCAGCACCACCAGCCAGCAGCAGCAACAACAACAGCAGCAACAACAACAACACCCCTTGGCCATCATCGCCATGAGAAACGCTTGTTAAGAAAATCCACAGCACTCCCCTCATTTGCATACACATTTTCCATTGAACTATGCGAATCCCATTTCCAAGTAGTCCAAGAAACTATATGTATTCCCCTTCTTGAAATTGGAGTTTCATCGATATTCCATTTCCATCTAATTCCATCCATTTTTCCTAAGCCTTTCAACTTTCAACCAGTTCTCCTTACTGTTCAAACACCGAAGGGTCCATCCCAGGACTACTTGGCCAAGTCCTTCTACAAGACCGCCTCGCTACTGGCGGCCGCCTGCCACGCAGCGGCGCTGCTGAGCCGGCCGCAGAGCTCGCCGGACGCGGAGGAATGCACCGCGGCTGCAAGGGGAGTTGTGGGATGAGGATCATCCACTGTAAATGGTCACAGTTACTATATGTTAACTATACTGGGATGCATAGTTACTAATGATGAAATTCCACATTTCATGATTTCATGAGGGTAATTGGATGAAATGAGGATCATGCCACTTGTGCTGGTCAGTGGTCTCTATAGTTCCATATCAATCGATCATTTTTGAATTTTTGACAGCTGGGGGCACTGCAAAGGATCGCAAAGGTTGTGGGGGCCCAAGGGAAAACTTCCCAAAGCTTAGTCATTGATTTTTTTGAGGTGATCAATTTACTTGAGCCAGGTGAATTCTGGTTCATACTGTGCCAGTCCTTCTAATCGCCTTTGCCAGTGATGGGGATGGGGCAATCTTAAGCAAGGATTTTTTTAGCATTGAAATGCATATTGCCTGAACCATGCTGTAACACTGTAAAGTGGGTTCTTGTTGGATGATGTGAACTTTGTTTCTTGCGGGTGCCCATGCTCCTCAAGCAATTTGATGCATCCAGCTACGAAACAGCCGTTGGCGCCCAGGTCAGAATTGTTACCGTTTTGGTGCCTACATTGGCCTGGCTTTTCAGGCAGGAGTTCAGTCCAAGATTAGACAACCACCAGAGCAACCAACATATCACAATTCAAACATTGGTTACTCAAAGGCCATCCATGTGTGGTTCCAAAGTTTATATCAGCAACTTGTGCGCCTTTAGCAAGATATATGTAGGCCATGTTGGTTCCACAGTGGCACTGGAGCTGTGGCCACCTGGAGGTAGTGGATGATATCCTAGACTTCATCGCCACCGAAGAGGTCCCGCAACGGTGGTAGATTAGATGGGGAAAAACGTGCACACGGCATGTGGGATGTTGTGGAACTGGGGACCTTCAAACCCTGGATGATTTCCCCACTTGGACAGGACATGCACCAAGAAACTGTGGAGTGTCGGTGTCCCAAAATTAATCAAAACTATATAATTATACTATATATAATATAATATATACTCACATGAAAGTGAGGGCTATCACACTCATAAGTTGTTTGGAATTCGGATCAGAATTTCTGCTTGTCAAAAACCTGCACGTCCCCTCGAACAGGTCCGAAAAGCAATGGCTTTGTGCTTGGGACTTAACCATCATGTGGCGGAAGAAGAACATATGGCCTCATCAATAATAATGATAATCATAATATGTAGAGCACCTGGCACCTCCTCACCATTTTAGTAGGTATTATCCTTGACTATCTTTTTGGGGTTGCTATCGCCTTTTTTTTCCGGTTGCCACAGTCAATCTGCTGAGATAATTCCCATGTTCCAAATCGGTCACAGTCACTCATGTGACTGAAAACAGTTCAGACCCTCAGTCCCAAGCTGCATTCCAAAGATGGCATGAACATTCATGAACATGATCGTTGTTCATCCGGCACTTGCTGCATTATGTGTGGATATGCATGGGTGGTTGGAGCCATGCTTCATAGTGCCCCATCTCCAGCCGCACCATATCCCTATGCAGGAGTTGGGCAAGCCAGCCTTAGCCGACCTGAAGGTGCCGGGGATGTAGGGCATTGCTGGGGACCCTTAGTTCCAGCGGAACCTGGAAAATTGAGCCCACCGGCTCTTTACCGGGTACAATGAAATATGAAACATCAGACAGAACAGTATATATCATGTCAAAGTATCTACTGTATCTGTTTTGTACCTAGCTATACAGCCCGAGAGTTGGTTAAGAGTCCGAAAGCTTGAGGCCCAGGGTCCCTCAAATTCTTATAAAGTACTATGTGCTTGGTATAGCTGAAAATACGTAGCTCGGGTAACCCCCCAGCGGCCCAGCGGTCCTGCAGGAGGGCAACCTGGGCGCCCCAGTGCTCTTTGCGGCGCAAGATGGGGCGCTGCCCGAGAAGCATCGCCAGGAGCTGCTGCAGGCGGCTTTTCGCGGCCAGGGTAGGAGCCATGATGCACCAAGATGCGGTGGATTTATGGAGATTTAACCCTGAAATATGGTGATTCATGGGTGATTGATTGCCAGTAAACATACGTAATATGAACATATATGGAATCAACATGATTTGCTCCATTGATATCGAAATTGGGGAATTATAGGATAATTGGACGTTACCAGGGGTAAACTCAACAATAAACCATCACGAAGAACTCACCCGATATGGGTGGGATTTCAACCCTGGGTTACCGATGGTAACGATTTGATTCGATGGTTACCTGGGTCAATGAGACATATTAACATGATTGCATTATATTGCATTGATACACTGAAGGTGACATGAACATATAAAACTCTGATGGTGAGTCAATCTGGCTGCATCTTGCAACGCATTGATCAGCATTGATCAGTTACTGGCATGCATGACCAGATACAGAGATGTGATAAAACCACATTTCCAAAAGACATAACACATATGACAATGCCACCTGTATTAATACTACAATAGAATTTCTTTTTTCGTAACACGTTTAGCTGAACTCGTCAAGAATCCGATGAAGAGAGAGAGAGAGAGAGAGAGAGAGGGAGAGAGAGCGAGGGGGGGCGAATGTTCAACACAGACATAGATATCATGAGAACATCTTGCTGCATCCCATCCCTTCCGTTGAAAGGCGATCGATCGACGCCTCTCCCGCGACGGGGATTTGGAGTTGGTGAAACGCCTGGTGGACGAGGGAAAAGGAGTGGAGAAATCCAAGGCGGGGCTTCGTCAATGGCTGGGTTCCGTAAATGGGGGTAAAAATGGATGATTTATAATGGACAATCCTATGAAAATATATTAAAATGGATGATTTAGGGGCGTACCCCTATTTTAGGAAACTACCAATTAAATAGACTATGGTAATATATGTGATTTCTGATGTGTAATACATCATATATATATATATTATATATATAATATATATATAATATATATATATAGGAAATGAATGGGTATCAACCAGGAGGTCCATTCATCCTGGATCTCCTCAATTTCTCCAGGCCCTCGCTCGACGATTTGTAGATTTGGCATCCTTGGAATTGGATAAGTCTTTGGGCAGCAAGGGAGGAGGAGGGGCCAGGTGAAATGAAGAGCCACATCGATATCCATTACATTATATATATACACAATTAAATGATAATGATAATTATACACGATTCTAAATGGTATCTATGGTTTTCCCCCACGTCAAAACATCATATATCAGAAATTAAGTTGGGAAGCACTGCAAGACGTTTAAAGACTCTCTTTGTTCATTTCTCAAAAGTTCACTAAGGTATACTGAGGTGATATCAGGGTTTTTCACCAGATGTTTCCCATGGCCGCCTTTTTTTGGCCCGAGGTTAGACCCCGGAGAAGCCCGCGCCGGCATGCGGCTCTTCGCGGAGTATGTCATCGTGAGAACCTACTGAGAAGCTCCAGCGTTTTGTTCCGTTGTGTTGTGCCAGCGCGTTGACATGACACCTGAGGGTGGTAGAAGTTCAAGGACCATAAGACTGGACTGAAACCATCCCCGGTAATTATTGGAACTACATGGAGCTGATCTTCAACAATGGAAGATTGAAGAGTAAGGCGTACCAGCGCCTGCGTCTTGGATGTATGCTCGTAGCTGTTCCCAATATACAACCTAGGCAACTGACGCGAGAAAGAACTGGTGCTCCTTGCATGTAGAACCAGATGGCTAGGTTCATTGCCCATGGCATATTCCAACTACTGTATGATGGCTAGGGTTGCCCCATCTATACCCTTTGTTTTAGGATTGGCTGCAAGGACTGTAATGCCTTCCACAACTCACGAGCATCCGTATTTGGACATATTTGGACCACCTCATGTGCTTTGACAAGGATCCAAAGGTCATCTACTAATGGCCATTCCAGGACCTAAACTGGAGGTACCTACCATATATTATATAAGGCCTATGTAAGGGCTATGTATAAGGGGATATGCCCCCAATTTCTATGGCTTGATATATCTTGATATGGTACTGTCCTCCATTTTAGGATCCTGGAATTTCCATATATCATATATCTGCGTGGGCAAAATTTGGGTCTTTATTTTTCATCAGGAGACCCTTTTTGTTTCCGGGGGCAAGTGAATGGTGGTGGATGCACTGCACCTGGCTTGAAGGAATGCTGAAGGGAGAGGACCCTTAGTAGCTGGCATGGCCGCGGCTTAGAAGATTTAAAATAAGCCGCACTAAGGCTTGGCAGTGGGTCGAAGGGCCCCAAAATCTCTGGCTACAGACCAATGCGATTGATCGATTGATCTGAAATCTGAAACCTTCGGAAGATAGTTTTGTAAGGTGCCCCTCTCCTCCTGGAAATTGTCTTATATTGGGCTTCATGCTTTAAAAGTTCAACAGGTGTTTACCCATTTGATGCTAGCAGGTGAAATGAGCCAGGCTCAAGCTGCGTCCCACTGCCCACCGGGTGCCTTTGCTTGGCCCCCAACCTATACCGCGCACCCCGTGCGCGACGTATTCCATCGGTTTCGCATCATTTTTTCGACCAGGGTCTCTGAGAGCAGTTTGCGCCCATGTGAGACAATGGCAAGATGTGATCTGAAGGTTGAGTTCAAGTGGATAACTTAATAACTCTGATTGGAACAAAGATATGCATAGACACCAGGGAAATCACCAAAAGTTCCAGATGTTCGTCCCTTCCAGGTTTCCTCAGGCCATTGGACAGATTGGACAGTTTTACAGCCAACGGTGTCTTGCAGACCCTGGTCGCTTAACTGTCCCTGGCATGGCTAAACTGCCAAGGGCGCCAGCCGGGCACAGGCCTATTTTTCTCCCCTGGAGGTCAGGGTCCGGCCGCTGAAACGCCTTGGTGTAGGCAGGTCAGGGTGTGTTTTTGTTAAATCAGTGTCCTATTAGGAAGGAGCAGGCCAGATATCACATCTTCACTAACAGGTAGAACATGAGATATGTGGTTTCTATAGGTGATAGATTAGATGGATGATTGAGATATCAGATCATCACCATGAATAGCCAATAGTTCAATAAACCATTCCATTGAACTATTGAATAAACCATTGATCACCATGAATAGCCACTAGTTCAATGGCTTATTCCGAAGTCTTTTTGTTTCCGCGGCTGCCCTGCCACTTTTCAGGCGCGGCCACGGATGCCATGCCTCAAGCGGAAAAAGTTGCGGCGAGTACAACCAGCTGAGAGAAAGCAGCCAGTCCGGAGGATGCTACCATAAACACAAATACACAATCTATCAACCTACGATTTGGAATAGTTACCTGGTGATGTTTCATAAGATTTTGGGACCTCAGTTCAGCAACAAGAAGGGTGAACCCCACAGGCAAAAGCGAAGCCTGCAGTGCTGTCCAACGAGAGGAATGGGGAGCAGCTTGGACAGTGCTGGTCTCCTAGGATGATCATGTTTTTTTACCCTCTGGTAAAGTCAAAATAGCTATGGTATAGATGGCCCATAGAAATAGATGGTTTACCTATTAAAAATAGTGATTTTTTCTATAGCTATGTTAAATTACCAGAGGGTACATATCTAATTGAAGCGCATAAAATTCATGAAACATCTCAGTCACATATAGCCTAGATCACACATGGTATCATGGTCACATTTTTTCGCCTAGCTTCAGGGTCATCTTCCAGGGAGGGATAGGCTATTCCATTTACTGCTTAATCAGAATTGTCATGACTGTTCGATGGCCATATTCTAAGGTAACATGAAAAGACCATATTCTGTCAATTTCTGTCATAGTTTAATGATGTATAATGGGTGTTCATCACCCCTAATATGAGACAAGTGATTCTCATATTGACCCCATGACATCCCTATATATATATATATTCCAGTATTCTTGCCAACGTTATACCCCATCATTGTTGGTTGTGTCCCCAGTATACCCCCATTTGACTCGCAGCCTCAACATGTCTAATCCAGAGGTGTTACAGCGCTTTTTAGTACCCTCTTGTAGTTCAACCGTTCGTGAACTGGAAAATCACCATATATTTAACAGGCAAATCATCTAATCATGATGTTTATACACTAGTGCGGAACAAATTGCCGAAGGGTATACCCCATGTTAATTCAATGTCCAAACTATCGATGTTTTCTTGGTGGTTCAACATTGTAAGACACCAATTTAAGGTCACATGCATTAAATCCCATGAATTGACATGAAATCCTCATTTGTTCATGGTTAAACCAGCATGTTGCCTGACCCCATTTAGGGTCTCACATGACTTGGCGCTGTCTGCTGAGGATTTACATGGCTCGCTCCGAGCCCGGTAGCCGCGATGGCTGGATGAGGCCTGGGGGGGTTGCTACAGAAAACTCCTGGCTTCCCGAAGGAAAATCATCATAGTGATCTGGGGTAAAACATGGTAAAACTATAGTAGTGGTGGCAATGGTGATAAGGGTCGCACTTTATATAAATCGTGTTGCAACATTGTCGTTTGAGAATGGGATACCTTCAATTCCAATAATTCCAATAATTCCAATAATTCCAATAATTCCAATGGATTAAATCATATTCAACCATGATTTTGCCAATTTTTGCCCATGAAACGGCCGTATTTACACCATTGGGTGGTCCCCAGCCAGCTGGACAGCTTTGGACGTCCACATCTCAGGCATCCCATCACGGGCCGCGTGGAGTTGTGGGAGGATCATGGGCAGACGCCCAAATGCATCGCACAGCAGCCTGGCTGAGGAGCTGAGGATCATGCAGCTGAATCGGTAAAGTGTTGGTTATAGTCATATTTTTATATATACTAAAAAAGAACTATTTTACGCTGTGAATCTGTGTAACTATGTAAGTTATTGTGATCATAATCATTGGATGATGAAAATAACGATCATTAGATTACTATACTAGTGTACACTAGTGTACTATAACTTTCATTAGATTACTATTACTATCACTGGTTGGTGGTTTGGAACATGAATTTTATGACTTACCATATATTGGGAATAATCATCCCAACTGACTTTCATATTTTTCAGAGGGGTAGGTATACCACCAATCAGTTATTGTGAATGGGTAAAGTGTTGTTGTAGTCATATGTTTATACAAAAAAAAATATTTTACTCTGTGTGTAACTATGTTTTATTGCTGTTGTTTGTACATTTTTTCATTTTGGTGGTAGATTTAGGCAATAGGCAATATTTCACCGATTTAGGCAATACTCTTCCCAGACGGTTAGCGTATGGCGAGCCCTGAGTGGTGCATATCTGAGCATCACATGATTCATCATCATGTTTGTTGTGGGTACAGACACAAAAATGTATAGTGGGTATGAACTGTGTACGCTCCACAAAATTTCATTATTTTAATTCGCCTGCTGCTTCACTGAGAAAGTGCAAAGGTGAGGACACCCTTTTCTTTGGGTTACACATTGGTTAAAGTCTGTTAAATGTTATTGCCGTAAACGATGCCGCAGTGTGGCCTACGGGAATACTGTAGCTGAGGTTCTATCAGCCGGGCACGATTGCCTTGCGATGTCCCGGGGAACCGCCGAAATGGATGCAACTTGGCGGACAAGATCCTCCAAGCTTTTCGATTTTAGATTCAGATTTTACCTTTCTATTTGAACTTAGGGGTTACTAAACGAATTTGCCAGGGAAATGGGCAGATCTGCTTTGTGTTCCGCAGAATCTGGGTGGTCGACTTCCCTGAGGTATGGCGAAGAGGAGGATACCTGAGGTCCGTGTTTAGCTGCGGGGTCCCTTGAGGGAAGGGAGACCATAACGATCCCAAAAGATGTAGATGTGGAGGTTGTGATTGGTGTCGGAGAAAGATGGCTAGGATGGACTTTTTGCCAAATGCGGATTGGCCTGATCGTGAATGAAAAAATGTTACCCTCTGACAAACTTATGGAAAACACCCATTTATAATAGGTCAATCAACTATCAATGGGCCATTTTTAATAGCAATGTTAAATTACCAGAGGGTAGCATTATGACACTCACATTTTGGTTTGTAGAACTCATCTCGCTTCCAGTTTTGAAACTCTGATCCAGAAGAGTTGTTGTTTCCTTACCAGTGAGGGCGGCCAGTTGTTGAGTTCCACTTATCTCACCAGAGCAGTACCTTTCATTGCCTGCAAGTGCAGAAGCTGGGGGTACCATCTATGTGATGCACAGTCACCGCAATCGTTTTTTTTTTTTTTTATGTCCCAAAAAGTATCTAAAATTCCTTGATAGGACATAGCATGATTTAGGATGATCGCACATTGTTGTGGGTAGGTTAAAATCCAACCATATCCGATCAGTAAATTGTGATTGTTGCCTAGCATATGGACGTATACAGGTTATGCATGGTGAGAAAGTGAGAACCCGTTTGATCCCATGCGAGCCATGTCCCAATTGCAACAATCACCTCAGTAGGTCCTTCAGCACCTGAAGAAACGTTGGGTGAAGAGTTTTCGGCCGCTGTATACGCAGAAGATGATGATTCATCAATATGTCTCAATGACTCATGACAAATATTTTTCATGATTTTTAGGCTATATGTTAAAACTGTTTTAACATACCAACCCGGCAAGACAATGTTACATATTACAGCCAAAGTCCCTGTACATTACATTGTGTGATATTTGTATGATTTCAGGTAAACACTTCTAGTACCCTCTGGTAAGCTAAGATAGCTATGGAAAATCGCCATTTATAATAGGCAAATCAACTATCAATAAGCCAAATTACCAGAGGGATCCAGAGGGTACATTCTAGGTCCCCATATTGTCCCCATCATGTTTTCGAAGTTTTCTATCCAGCTCAAGTCCTCCATCAAGGTTGTGCAGGTGAGTTGAGTGCTGCTGCTCAGCCAATTGTTTTTCGTTGGATTTAAAAGGGCTTCAAGGGGATTATATTGCATATAGTTTTTGATACGGATTTTAAATGGGATTATATTCAATTAACATGGATTCGTTTGATGGGTGTATACGTCAGCATGATCTCACTTTGTTCAACCCTGAGCACACAGCTGGTTGTTGGGCGGCTGCTATTCTGTGCCTTTTGGAACTTTTTGTGCTTTTGCTGTTTCGATCACGCTTAGTCTGGACATGTTGCGATGACAAAAGTCAGGCAACAGTAGGTCCTTCCCGGCAAGCACACGGCGGTTACCGGGTTACCATCACTTTTGCATGGAATGCAGCCAGTACACCATGGAATCTCTTCATTGTCAGCATGGGATCCTTTGGGATATTTTGGGATCGGAGACATGCTTTGACATCCTTTGACATGGTACCCCAAGTGTTCCTGGCCCCGACGTGGGGATAGATGAGTTTCACCACGCTGATGTGAAGATCCGCAGCAGCAAAAAGAAGTTCAGCTTTGGCGCCGATTCGTGGCTGGTAGGGTGATCCACTTATCCACGTTTTAGCGGCCGATTTTAATAGATTTTGCCTGAAAAGATGTACCATTCTGCTACCATTCTGCATGGCTTAACGAGAGAACATGATGATGAAGCAGTGGACAAAGCCCGACTATGCCTTGCAAAGATGGATCAGAAAGGGTGTCACTTCTGGGTATCCAACAGCAACAGAGCCCCAAATCCTACTGTGACAGTCACTGATTTCAGCGGTAGATGAACAGCTCGACATTTTGGCAGCCGAGGCGACACAAGGCTTCTGGAAGGTATGGCTGCAGCTGCCAGGGAAGCCCAGCATCACCCTCTGCATATTTTGCAGACCCGGTGCCTGAACCACCCGTCAGTTTGTTTGGCACACGATACCCATTTTTGTTGGTTCTATACCTCTATTTCTTTCAATTTGATAATTTTTTCTCAGTTGCATTTCTTTGGCTAGTTGGTTGCTTGCTTGCTTCGTTGATTGGATTTTCTATCCATATATTTATTGTTGGTTATCCCAGTAATCCAATGCCAATGTCGTGGCTGTCCCAGGCCTTAAGCAGCGAGCTTCGAGATTTTTCGTCCCAGGCATGGATTGATGGGATGGACTTTCCGGCAGTGCCTAGGGCAGATTCTTTGAGAAGCCATGGGGAGAAAGCACAGGAAAAAACACACATACAACCAAATCCTCCAAACTTGAACCAGCATTTCTAACATGTTTTGGTTGATAATTATGTCTGATTCTATGATGTTGGTGCAGACGTATGCGCACTTTGTACCCAACATAAAAATACCATGGAAGCAAGCAATGAGTGCACAGACTCTACCTGCATGAATGCAGCATGAAAATCTCGGGTACGATCATCCAAAGGTGGGAAAATATGATGCAAATCGGATGTTGCCCTCGGAACCTTCAACCTGTCAGGAATTGGCTAACAGCTTGTGGTCCTTTGCGTCGCTGAAGGTTCAGAATGAGGTGCGGGACCGGCTGCAGAAAAAAATCCGGAAGGCTTGAAGTAGGCATTCTTGAGGATGTGAAACTGTGTGAAGCTCATGTGTATCAATAGAAACATGTTGAGCCTGCTTTGAACAAACATGGTACACACATGTAGCCACCATTTTTAAGCCCGTGACTACTTCACCAGTGCGGTTGCAAGACATGTATAGGAGTTACTTTGCTGACGTCGTGAATCACCAAAAGCATAGCGCTTGAAGGTCTAGTATGCAGCAATATGTAGAACACACCTCTCAGCATCACATTGTTCATATGCAAGACAAGAAAGTATGTTAAACTTGTATGTACCCTCTGGTACAGTAACATAGCCACATAGCTATGGAAAATCACCTATTTTGATATGATCATGTATGAATTGCCTATTTTCTGCTTGTGAAATGACCAGGTGGTATGGACATTTGGCATGTTCACCAAGCTTTTGGGGCACATCTTGCCATCACATGGAAAGGCGCTCACGGACTCCTTCGCAGCCCATGTTCTGACAGAGGTCCTGCCTGAGGTGCTGAAGTGGGGGGAGATGGGCCAGGAAAATTCATATACATATATATATATACATATTACATACACATACATACATATATATATATATACATATTACATACACATACATATATATATATAATTACTTATAATTATATGTTGTGTGTACATGATTTTAGATATTCAATATAATTATATTTGTTTGCAGATGCCTTCCAGTAATCTAAGCTGGCAACAAAACATATGTTTTAATCTTTTGGATTGAAACGTAGAGTTGCACACCCTGCTTGTTAAGTTTGGCCAGCATCCCGAGCAAAATGATTTGGATGAATGAGGGCCGCCTCTGGAAAATGGAGAGGCATCATTAAACACCAAGATGGTTGTATATGTCGGGGAAAGGCTCTATTCATTTTGGATGGAAATCACTAGCCGCTACTAGCCCTTAGGCTCCCAAAACCTGGTGGAGGGATTGTGTGAAGCTGTGGCAGAGATTGGCGGAGTTTCGCAACGCCAGCCTTGTGCCAACTTGAAAGATCATCAAATGACTGTGATAATAAGTACTGTGTGACTGAGGACGGACGATTATCATGTCAAGGGCATCATCCCCGTAGTGTGGGATTATCATGTCTTGGTTTCGTGTTGAAAGTCTTCACGCATGATCAGGTCAAAACAGTTCAGAGATCAACCCGACGCAGTTTTTTCTGTATATGTGAATTCCCATATGGAGCTTTCCTAAAGTGATGGTAAATCATCCAAGTCATTAGACAATTTTTATCCATTTTAGTCTTGAAACCCATGGTGACTTCGGGATCCCTCATTTTTGAACCCCCCATATCTGTTTGCCCAGATGATCATTTCCGATTTGCAAGATGATCCCTTTCGACTCAGATCTTCCGTGACTTGAACCACGTCAAGCACATTCCTAAAATGGGGCTTTCCTAACATGGGGGACCCCCAAAGCATCCCAATTTTGTCAGTGTTTGTCGGGAAACCAATGGGGGGTCCTCCAAAGCAAATAGCACAATAATATCAATAATGTAAAATAGTATATCTCGTTGCTCCACCTTTTTTCCGTTTTAACTCCCGACTCTCTATGGTTAAAGTCCCCATTTATCAATGGGTTTTCCACATGATGCCGGTAATCAACCATGGCAGTTGAACATGTTGAACATCCCCCATAAAAGAAGGTTTGTAGCTGGGAGAATCAACTATCAATGGAACCCATGTTTAATTGATAGTTGAACATGGTTATAAATGTTATAAACTAACAACCATGGCAAACAAGCGATGTCAATTGCCAGCTATAAACCGTCTATTTAGAGCTGTCCCACATCCTATCAATGGAACATGTTCAAACAGGCCATGTTTGTTTTCCACATGGCTTGTCACTCGTGTCGATCAAACAGGCCATCTCCCAGAACGTCCGCGGCCCAGGTAGAACTTGGTTGCTGCAGATTTGTTTAGTAACTATATTATTTAATGAGATCAGTAAATAATCGTAAATGATGGTAAATGATGGTAAATGTAACAGTTTTCTGAACCTGATTGCATAGTGTAAGATTATTTTAATCGTGGTTTCCAAAAGCAAGACAAAACAGGTTTCTCATGCATCCATCCGGGCGTTTGACATGACAGCGCACGAACTGCCCAATGCATTCCCAATGCCGCTGAGATTGTGAACATTGCCTGGGCTTTGAATTGTTTGGAATGGAAGGACAACCAGGCAGGTTGGCAATTCCCGATCTTACCTGGTGACGGTGATGGTTCCTCAGACCCGGGAATGATGTATTGAATGATCCACTTTCAGGCCCAACATAAGCGGTATATGTTCTTCTGTGGGAGTTTGTTCTGTGCAAGAGTTCTTTCTCGATAATCTGTGACCTGAAACCGTTTGGGGCTAATAAAGATTGTGAATCTGTTTCGTGACCTTTCATCAGCTTCTGAAATCGAATAACATGTTTTTAAGCACCATATAGCACCATTAAAGCACCATTAAAGAACCATCTGCCCTATCCGCTGGATGATCCCAGATGATCCCAGGGGTCGCCGCCAGGGTGGTTTTCACCGGATCCTTTCGCACTTCCTCAAGGCTGGGCGCCTGCCATGCCACGGACTAGTGACTAGTGCAAGGGCTAACTTGGTTGGCACAGGCCAGATGTTAAAACTTATGTTTCTGTAAATTTAAGTGCGAATCTTGCAGCCGTTCTTGTCAGGGTGTGAGGGATTTTCTCCGTCAAAACCTATCCTTTTCAGATGAGGTGCAGTAAGATGTTGCTATTCATGTGATTTCTGCAGGTATAAAGGATTATAAAGGCATTCTATATAATTCTCTATGATTATCGGTGACGTCTAATGAACTTGCTTTCTTTTGCGCCCAGACCATCGCATGTTTTTTTCGAGTTGGCTGCCAGGTGTGCTCCCGATCTCTGGGGGTCGAATGGGTCACCCTCGCATCCATTGCACAGGAGTGCTGTTTATTGTGCTGATAGGCCTCGAGCTGGATTTCCATTGGAGTTATGTTCCAAGAATATATTTGACAAGAGTCAATTGCACCGTGTTGTCTACTGTTTTCTTCTGAGGTGCTTAAGTGATCCATTGCGAATTCAAAAATGGGCTGGGCTTTCTTGTGCGTTTTTAGTGTTTCTGCTGCCACCTTCTGGTTTCGACCCTGCTGGTACGCAATCCGAAAAGGAGCGCGGTCTTCAGTCTCTGAATGGATTCTGGGTCCAGTGCCCAGTTTCGCTGGGTGCCAGATCCTAGTCCTGGCAAAGCCAACCATTTCACGGTGTCCTCATCCCATAGTCAAGTGAAATCAAGCAAAAATGGTTAGAACATGTTAGAGCACCCGAGCTTATCCAGTCATTCACTTCTTCATTTTGTAGGTGAAATTTGGCACATTCATTCGGTATCATCCAGCCTCAAGCTGTTAGAACCCTGGTCCCTGCTGCAGCCATGGTCCCCATGCGCCGGCGACTGCCAAGAAGTGCAGCCCTGGCCCCTGTGGCACTTCTGCATCTTGTCCAACACTGGAGAATTACTAGTGAACCGTGCGGGCGTTTCTCACATCCCATGTCTGTGTTTTTGTGATTTGGTATTTAGCCACAAAAACTCCGTCTGAAATGGAACGACATGGGGCTTTATGTAGCTGTTCATCTATGAAATATTCGGAAGCCACGTCACTTGACTGACATCACTTGACTGACATCACTTGACTGACATCACTTGACTGATACATTTCAGGTCATCCCCCTGTCAACCACCTCTGTGTTTGTATACTATATATAAACTGCACGCCTCCACGTTGTTGAAATCCCCACTTCTTGCCATTAGCATGCGATTCATACACTATTATTTGTAGTTCAAACCTTCAAACTTCGTTATCTTATTGCGCCTTTCGCTATTAACACGGTTTGCATGTGTTTTTTTTTAACAACTATGCTATGGATATCATGGATACGTGTGCTGTTTTTCATTGCATCTTCTCAGGGTCGGGTCTCGCAGAGGTTGCTTTCCTGTGGCCTTTGTTTCCTCCCATCCCCGCAGAGACGACCACGCCGCCCGAACTTCGCCAGCACCAGCGCTGCAGCGGCGGCCGCTTGGGCTAAGGTTTATACCCATGACGGATCCATGGTGCTGGTAGATATGGTGTGCCATGGACCCCATGAATATACCCCAGTCATGTCAGCATATATACCAGCACCATGGATCCTATGGGATAGGGATAATAACATATATATATATATATATAATCACTACATTATATAGTTAATGGGGATTATAAACCGACTTATCATTTATCACCGGGGGCCCACCTTGTACGTAGGGGAATGATTCCCAAATGGTCCAAACTGGGCTTATTATGCTTGATTTTTTGAAACTGTCTCAATTTGCCCATATTTGCCCAGATGAGTTCAGGGTGGTGACTTCTCAGCAAGAGGAGCACAACCAACGAGAGCATTGCATAGAGATGCAAAGAGTATAACCCATAGGATCCATGTATTGTATATATGGTAACATTTACCATCAATATACCCCAAATGTCAGCATATATACCAGCACCATGGATCCTATGGGAAATTATGATCAACAGAACACATTGCCAGTGGGAATGGTGGGTCCCACAGGTCCTTCAGCCAAGGTCAGTTTCTTGTCCCTTCCTGCTTTTGCGGAGGAGGAGATGGATTCTGCCACCATGGCTTTTCGGCATTGCTTAGGAGGGGAAATCTACCGGACCCCCCATAATTCATGGGAAACACCATGGTTTTCCGCTGCGATCTTCACCAATTCTCCTTGAAGCAAGCTGGAGTTGCTGAGGCCCTGAAGGATGCAACAGAGGAGACCTTTGACTTAAAACGACCCAACAAGATCGACCTCGGTCCCTTGACCATGGTCAATGTTTGATGAGGATTATATGGATATGGACTATGGGTTATTATATGGCTACTTATAATAGGCGTTAATGTGGATATATGTGGATTACGAATGGTACCTTCTTGGTAGCTTGTTATTTATGTATTTTTCTTTGATGGTCCTGAATCCAACCCCACCTAGTAAGTATTTAATTAGCACCCTGGAAACACTGGGTCCATATTGTGGGTAATTTATATTAGGGACAAGGCATTACAGTCACAGTAATTGGATTGGTCTCTATATACTTATACCACTGCCTGACCCCCTGACCCATGTTGGAATTTGGAATGACAATTCAGTTGGTTTTACAGTTTGACCCAGGATGAATTATGCACCCCCTGAACTGGTTTGATTTGTCCGGGCTTGGCTCACTTGATGTCTTTGTCGTGAAGTAAAGTTTGGTTCATGGTCTAAACCATTGTCAAGTCGTAGGGACGTAGTGCTCGTCAACGAAGAATATTCACAGCCCAGTTTTGGGGAGGTGCCATTCAAATCTGACCAGAAAGGGTTGATCAGTCCCGGGTTGACACTGCCAGAAATTGCCACATGACTACTGATAGATACTGATAGTTGAAAGGAAAATAATATAACCGGCCAGTGGTCACCAGCTACAGAACCCAAACATCAACCCCTATTTTCTGCGCATTTGCGTCTTTATCAGCTCTTCCCGCCTGGGTTTTCATGTTTGGACGATCCCAGAAGTCTTGTTCGTTTGTAAACAATTGGGCTTTATCATTTTCCCAATTCCATTGCCATTTTGATGGAGGTATTTGTCCTATTTGTCCTCATTCTCAGAGACACCCAATTTCCGTGATCAGTTGCTTAAATCCCATGGTTAAATTAAATCATGGTTGAATCAAGGTGAAATCACCCTCAGCAATTGCCATTTCCGTAAGCATTTCAGTATCCATCCCTCAGCAATTCCCCTATGTCAAAGCCAGGTGAGTATCGAGGGGACGGTCCTTGGTACGTCTTCGCCGTGGTGGGTCTGCTCTTTTTTGCCTTCACAGTTGGGGAGTCCCGGTGTCGGATGATGTCGGATGAGTCCCATGGGTAAAAACTGAGATGAAAAAGACTTGCTGTGAGAAAGTTGATAAATACACAAACCATACAGTGCTTGATCATACTTGATCTCTGTCTCTCTCTCTCTCCCTCTCTCTCTCTGTATATATATATAATATATATGCGTGTGTGATCGATTTATCTTCACGCACCTTTGCATCTCTCGCATGTGTTGTCGATTAGATATATATATATATATTATATATTATATATATATATATATGTTTCCCGTGTGTATCTACAAGATGGCCATGATTTCTGCAGGCAGTGCAGGCCTGGAATGACCAATTTGGCCTTAGTGAGCTGCTTGGCGACTGGGGGTCTGAAACCAATCCATTGAGATAGACTTGACAGGATGATATGGCTTTGTCAGATAAGGCTTCCCGAAATCTAATGGTTCATTTTACATTTTCATTCTGGACGAGAGTGCAAAATTTTTGTATGCTCCCCATTACCAGATGCGCCCATGGTCTAGAACCAGAGGCAATCAACCAGCAAACAGATGATGATCCTAAAGTGGCAAAACATCACAGCTGAAGACCAGGATATGGGCCGGAATGGATTGGCATCACATGTTTTTTTCCATCATAACTGCTTTCTAGCTGGATCCAGCAACATTCTAGAATATCTATTGGCAAATTGGACTAATTCTAATGGCCTCATAGTTGAATGGACTAATTGGGAAGTCACTGACCTGATCCTACACGGTTCTCAAACATCATCTCAGTGAAGTCATGGAGTCATCATTTTTGAATTCTGCAAGCCAGGGCCTTTCGCGATGTTTTTTCCGGCCCAAACATGGTAGATATACATCAATTTGTAAATTATAAATCCATGTAATACCTTAAATTTTTGGTATGTTTGATGTACCTTAAAATCAAGTTGTAGGTGCGCACATTATAATTTTATATAATTCTCCCAATTGGATGAAGGGAACATTTGCAGGAATCCCCCGAATTATATACTGGTAAAACCCAATGTCTCCGGCTAAGAGTTTCCCAACAACAAACGAAGCCAGTGAATAACAACACCTTGTTTTTTGGGCGGGTTTTCCGAAATTTCAGTCAAAACCCAGCGGCAGATTTCAGGCACAATTTATTTCATTGGATTGACATGGTGATAGGCCGAGCGCCATTTCTTGTGAGGGCTTCATTTTGAACCCACATTTGTATACATTTGTTGGGTGGTTACATCCCCATTGCTGGTTATGTTTCCCATCGAATGTTTGATTAGCAGTAGCAGTTGCCCATTTGGGTTCCCAGTGGTTCCCAGCTCCTGCACTGAGTGAAGTGGCGACGACGTCCGATGACTACTTCAATCCCGACTTTGATCCATACAAAGGCGCCACATGTCGAGGGCAGGAAGGAGACAAGACGGAATCAGTCACCCACTAGCAGAGTCAGACCACCCTGAATCAGCTTGATTTAGGGTTGTTTCAGAGTGTATTAGGGTATATTTAGGGTTGGTGTTAGGGTTGGTTTAGGAATGGTTTAGGGTTTCTTTAGGGTTGGTGTGATTTTAGGGTTCATTTAGGGTTGACTTAGTGTGGTTTGTTTTTTTTTTTAAGGCTTGGCTTAGGGTTTTTTAAGGGTTGCTTTAGGGTTAATGTAGGGTCTCGTCAGGATATGTTTTAAGGTTGGTTACTCAGGTTTGGTTTAAGGTTTCTTGAGGGGTTTGGTTTAAGGTATATTTAGGCTGGGTTTAGGGTATATTCAGGTTTGGTTTAGGTTTATTTCGGGTTGGTTTAGCGCGGCGCTAACGTAGGGCTTCGTCAAGGTTTGTTTTAGGGTCTATTTGTGTTTACTTAGTGTTGGTTTGTTTTTTTTTCTTGGCTTGGTTAGGGTTTATTCAGGTTTGCTTTAAGGTTGAATTAGGATTTCGTCAGGGTTTGTTTAGGGTTTCTGTAGGGTTTGTTTTAGGGTTTGTTTAGTCTTGGTTTGGGGTTTATGGATGGTTGGTTTAAGGTTTCTGTTTAGGGTTGAATTATGCTTTCGTCAGGGTTTGTTTTAAGGTTTGTTTGGGGTTTACTTAGGGTTGGTTTGGGGTTGATTCAAGGTTGGTTTAAGGTTTCTTTAGGGTTGACTCAGGGTTGTTTCAGGGTGTATTAGGGTACAGTATATTTAGGGTTGGTGTTAGGGTTGGTTTAGGGTTGGTTTAGGGTTTCTTTACGGTTGGTTCAGGGTGTGTTTTGGGGTTTATTTAGGGTTGACTTAGTGTTGGTTTAAGGTGTTTTTAGGCCTGGCTTAGGGTTTTTTAAGGGTTGGTTTTGGGTTAGCGTAGGGTTTCGTCAGGATTTTTTAAGTTTTAAGGTTGGTTTGTTTTTTTTTGGGTTGGTGCGGGGTTTATTCAGGTTTGGTTTAAGGTTGAACTAGGGTTTCGTCAGGGTTTGTGTGAGGGTTGGTTTAGGGTTTCTGTAGGGTTTGTTTTAGGGTTTATTTAGTCTTTGTTTGGGGTTTATGGATGGTTGGTTTAAGGTTTCTTTAGGTTTTGTTTAGGATTGAATTATGCTTCGTCAGGGTTTGTTTTAGGGTTTGTTTTAAGGTTTGGGGTTTACTTAGGGTTGGTTTAGGGTTTATTCAAGGTTGGTTTGGGGTTTGTTTAGGGTTTGTTTAGGTTTCGCTTAGGGTATATTTAGGCTTGGTTTAGGGGTATATTTAGCCTTGGTTTAGGGTTTCTTTTGGGTTGGTTTAGGGTTGATGTGGAGTTTCGTTAAGGTTTGCTTTAAAGATGGTTTAGGTTTTTTTAGGGTTGGGTAAGGGTTAATGTTGGCTTTTGTCAGGGTTTGTTTTAGGGTCTATTTAGGGGTTTCTTGAGGGACTGTTTCTTGTTGACTTTGCTTTTTCCCATGATTCCTTGATCCTCTTTCCGGCTTTCAGGGGTGACTGACTCTTTGTTGTTGACTTTCTGTTTTCCTCCGGGTTCCTTGATCCTCCTCCCGGCTTCCAGGGGGTGACTGACTCTTTGTTGCTGACTTTCTTCCTCCCGTTCATGGTTTCCCTGCATCCTGTGCTGGTGTTCAGCGGTGACTGACTTTGTCCTATGGGGTTCCTGACTCGGACGTTTTGGGCGACTGACTCGAGTGACTGACTCTGTCTTTGTTCCATCCGGAAGCATTCAACTCCACAGTGCCGTGTTTGGTCTCCATCGTCAATCTCAAACTTCAAGTGCTGGTGGTTTCAAATATGGGATGTCCACCCTAAAAGATGGGATGATGATTCATGATGATCCAAATTCACTTTCAGTATCTTTCAGTGGGGGGCCCCCACCAATAAGTCAAGCGTGTTGCATCAGCCTGGTTTGTTTCACAGTCCCTCGGCAGGCATGAACCTGAAGAAAGACGCAAAGACGGGCAAGCCGGTGCGCTGAGTCTGAAATCATCAAGCCAAGCAAACTTGAGCAGCCTGTAGCAGCTGTGTTTGCTGCTCAGTCTTGGATTTTAATGGTGCTTGGTCAACATTTGACCACATGTTGATGAATATTGCGAGGTGCTTGACCACTGCGATTTTTGTTCAGTCGCTTGCCGCCCTGTGTTGCGGCTCCGGCCTGCGCTGTGCGCAGAGAACCGGAAGGGGCACCCAGCGCCCAAAGGGCACAGGATAGCCGCGGTGATCAACCGCAGACCATCGCAAGAAATCGTTGGAAAGAAACAGGATGGCTGAATGCAGGCGATGGAAGGAGAGGGAGAGAGAGAGAGAGAGATGCAGGTTCGGGGTGGATTGTGCCGAAGAACATGTGAGAATGCTACGTCAACGTTATTGCATTGGGTCCAAGTTTAAAAAGTTTAAAAGGTGGCCACGTGAGGTATGTATGCATACAATTGGATACGTATGGACTATATATACGGAATGTGGCCTTAGGGGCGACATGGTCCTTTTATGTCCTTTTTATAGCATGGGCTATTTCTTCGAGGCAGATTCTTGCAAGACATAATCTAAAGTCTCTCATGTATGCTAAAAAATCACTGAGTATCCCCTTTCGATCCAGGTATCCCTAGATTTCCATCCTTGCTGCGGCCGGTTTTGATACTTTTGTTTGTTGGAACTCGATTTGGATTGTGAAACTTTCTTATCGCCATCATCCGGGAGATGGAAATGCTTGTTGTTCTCATTTTTTTTAAAAAAGAATTTTGAATTTTCAGTCTATTGTGTGTATGCGTTGGCTCCAGTGAGGCACAGTTGTGTTGCATAGTGTTGGTGACAATCTCAGTTTATCTCTGTCAATGCTCAACAAATTGAAACCTTGAAACCAATTTACTTAATTTTAATGGGTTCGTTAAAGGACAATCATGGAACATCTACTGGAAACCCTCGTTTCTAGCGCCAAATATGGGGTTTCTGTTTCAAATCTCCCTTCATCTCCTGGGATCAGTTTGTGACAAAGCACAAAACCACAGAGCCAGGGTGCCATCAAAATGGTCGGGCCAATGTAGAAATGGTTTGAATATTGAGCGGCAAATACAGCATGCAAATAATGGGACTAAGGATTTTATCTTCAAAAAGACTACAATGGCCAATTTATAGATCATTGACTCTGACCTCACCTATTAAACCGTAGCTATGTCAAATTGCCAGAGGGTACTCCAATGTGGCGGGTTGGGTGCCGTGTTGTTTCCCGTTTTTTTTACCCAAAGAGTGTGTCCACACTGAGGTGTTCTTACGGTAAGTGTAAAGGCCAGTGCTTGATAAGGGTGCTCCATCTGCCCCGGCATTTCCCCTGTAAATTCTCGCGCAAAGTGGCTCTGGTGAAATGTCTAAGTGCATGTCGACTGCACAGGCTCGCACAAAGTGTGTGTCTGCGTTCCGGCTGGTCCTGGTCTCGAGCCTTTTTCCTGTACATTTCCGTATAAAGTGGCTCTTGTGAAATGTCTAAGTGCATGTCGACTGCACAGGCTCGCACAAAGTGTGTCTGCGTTCCGGCTGGTCCTGGTCTCGAGCCTTTTTCCTGTACATTTCCGTATAAAGTGGCTCTTGTGAAATGTCTAAGTGCATGTCGACTGCACAGGCTCGCACAAAGTGTGTCTGCGTTCCGGCTGGTCCTGGTCTCGAGCCTTTTTCCTGTACATTTCCGTATAAAGTGGCTCTTGTGAAATGTCCAAGTGCATTTCGATTGCGCAGGCTTGCACAAAGTGTGTGTTTGCGTTCTGGCTGGTCCTGGTCTCGAGCCTTTTTCCTATAAATTCTCGCGCAAAGTGGCTCTGGTGAAATGTCTACGTGCATTCGACAGCACAGGCTCGCACAAAGTGTGTGTCTGCGTTCCGGCTGGTCCTGGTCTCGAGCCTTTTTCCTGTACATTTCCGTATAAAGTGGCTCTTGTGAAATGTCTAAGTGCATGTCGACTGCACAGGCTCGCACAAAGTGTGTGTCTGCGTTCCGGCTGGGTCCTGGTCTCGAGCCTTTTTCCTGTACATTTCCGTATAAAGTGGCTCTTGTGAAATGTCTAAGTGCATGTCGACTGCACAGGCTCGCACAAAGTGTGTGTCTGCGTTCCGGCTGGTCCTGGTCTCGAGCCTTTTTCCTGTACATTTCCGTATAAAGTGGCTCTTGTGAAATGTCTAAGTGCATGTCGACTGCACAGGCTCGCACAAAGTGTGTCTGCGTTCCGGCTGGTCCTGGTCTCGAGCCTTTTTCCTGTACATTTCCGTATAAAGTGGCTCTTGTGAAATGTCTAAGTGCATGTCGACTGCACAGGCTCGCACAAAGTGTGTCTGCGTTCCGGCTGGTCCTGGTCTCGAGCCTTTTTCCTGTACATTTCCGTATAAAGTGGCTCTTGTGAAATGTCCAAGTGCATTTCGATTGCGCAGGCTTGCACAAAGTGTGTGTTTGCGTTCTGGCTGGTCCTGGTCTCGAGCCTTTTTCCTGTAATTTCCGTATAAAGTGGCTCTTGTGAAATGTCTAAGTGCATGTCGACTGCACAGGCTCGCACAAAGTGTGTGTCTGCGTTCCGGCTGGTCCTGGTCTCGAGCCTTTTTCCTGTACATTTCCGTATAAAGTGGCTCTTGTGAAATGTCTAAGTGCATGTCGACTGCACAGGCTCGCACAAAGTGTGTGTCTGCGTTCCGGCTGGTCCTGGTCTCGAGCCTTTTTCCTGTACATTTCCGTATAAAGTGGCTCTTGTGAAATGTCTAAGTGCATGTCGACTGCACAGGCTCGCACAAAGTGTGTGTCTGCGTTCCGGCTGGTCCTGGTCTCGAGCCTTTTTCCTGTACATTTCCGTATAAAGTGGCTCTTGTGAAATGTCTAAGTGCATGTCGACTGCACAGGCTCGCACAAAGTGTGTCTGCGTTCCGGCTGGTCCTGGTCTCGAGCCTTTTTCCTGTACATTTCCGTATAAAGTGGCTCTTGTGAAATGTCCAAGTGCATTTCGATTGCGCAGGCTTGCACAAAGTGTGTGTTTGCGTTCTGGCTGGTCCTGGTCTCGAGCCTTTTTCTTATAAATTCTCGCGCAAAGTGGCTCTGGTGAAATGTCCACGTGCATTTCGACAGCGCAGGCTCGCACAAAGTGTGTGTCTGCGTTCCGGCTGGTCCTGGTCTCGAGCCTTTTTCCTGTACATTTCCGTATAAAGTGGCTCTTGTGAAATGTCTAAGTGCATGTCGACTGCACAGGCTCGCACAAAGTGTGTGTCTGCGTTCCGGCTGGTCCTGGTCTCGAGCCTTTTTCCTGTACATTTCCGTATAAAGTGGCTCTTGTGAAATGTCCAAGTGCATTTCGATTGCGCAGGCTTGCACAAAGTGTGTGTTTGCGTTCTGGCTGGTCCTGGTCTCGAGCCTTTTTCCTATAAATTCTCGCGCAAAGTGGCTCTTGTGAAATGTTCAAGTGCATTTCGACTGCGCAGGCTTGCACAAAGTGTGTGTTTGCGTTCTGGCTGGTCCTGGTCTCGAGCCTTTTTTCTGTAAATTCTCGCGCAAAGTGGCTCTTGTGAAATGTCCAAGTGCATTTCGACTGCGCAGGCTTGCACAAAGTGTGGGTCCCGGTCTTGGGATCGGTCCTCCTCCTCAAAATCATCATCCTCAAGATCATCATCTTCCTCCTCAACATCATCGTTTTCAACCTCGTCATCTTCCTCCTCCTTGACCTCATCATCCTCAACCATCACCAACCTGTTCCTCATCTTCCGCAACATCAACCTTGTCTTCATCTTCCTCGGCATTATCATCCTCAACACCCTCCTCCTCGTCCTTCTCAACATCTTATCATCCTCCACTTCATCTTCCGCATTCTCATCCGCATCCCCACCCTCCTCAACATCGTCATCCTCAACCTCCTCATCCTCCGCATCATCCTCCTGCACCTCATCATCCTCAACATCCTCATCCTCAACATCATTGTCTGCAACATTATCCTCGCCCTCCTCCTCCTCCTCCTCATCATCATGATGATCATCATCCACCACATTCTCATACATTATCCTCCCACTCCCCCACACTGTTTGGGGTCTCTTGCTGGGATAACTGGGTTTTGCATAACAGCAACGAGACCATCCATTCTCGCACCCCAAACACCGACTTCCCAGACATTCCCAGATCAATGCTGGGCCAGGCTCAATGGGGCCGCACTATGGGTTCATCATTTGTTGTTTGAGTCCTGTTTTCCCGTACAAGAAAGGCATGATGACCGATGACCTTTAAAATGGATCCAAATGAACGGTTGTGACCATCATTATCCATCATTCAGATAGGTTTGAAATCACAGAGTTGACCCCTGTTGGATGACTTTGTTTGATCTTCGTTGTGCTTGGTCTCGTTTTTTTCTCCCACAGGCTTGTCGAGAAAATACAGGTTGCCACCACATGTTTCATCGTTTTTCCACATCCAATGGGCAACTCACAGTAAACGTACCAACCACATCCAATCACAGCCTTCCAATTGCTCGAATTTGAGGACATCATTGGTTCTTTTACGCCTGCCATCCGAGGTCAGCCCAACCCAACGGGACAAAACTGGTGGACACATGGTTTTTGCGTCCGAGCAAGCCAAAGTTTGCTACTGCTATTCCACGGGCGGCTTCATCATGTCACGCCTCGCTGCAAAAATGAAGAGGATAGAGAAGGGCACGAACAGCACACGGCTCCACGCCGCTTGGCTGCCCAGCCCGTTGTGCCACATTGTCCTGCCTTTGGAAAACCGAGGCGCAATTTGAAAGCTTCGTCTTGGCACCTGCTCTGCGGCACTTGGAAGCTTTACGCTGGGAAGCTCAGAGCAGGCAAGGGAGCCCCAGGTGCCCCCCCAGGTGGACCAGGGGCGCAAGGTCATGTATAGCAGTTACATGCAGTTACAGTATGTGCGTAGAAACAGAAAAATGCAGAAAGGGGCAGGGTGCATGATAATATGATATTATGGTCGCGCCTCTCGCCCCCAAAAATTTACCGCCCGCTCTTTAGCATGTTCTAGCGCTGCTTCAACCTTTGACTTCGAATGGAAGGACGCTGTGCAGGCTTGTGTGGAACCATGTGGAACCATATTATTTGTGCAAGATTGATTGTTGCCAGTGGTTGGGAGGACGCGGGCCATTCCTATGTTTTCGTGTCTCTGGGTCTTCAAGTCCTGCACAGAACAAAATCTATTGTATAGCATGTATTGTATAAGACGAGTGAGGTCTTTTGAATTTTTCCCCAATCCAATTCGTCAACCGTGTCACAAACTTCCTGAGGCGTGGCCATGAGCGAAGTTACCTTCAATGAGAGGTTCCAAACGATGCAGCGGTGGGCGGGGCCGCCTATGGCCGATGGTGGCGTTGAAGCGCGCAAGGAGGTTGAAACCATTACAGTAATCCTGCCTTTTTTGGAACCTTTATGTATTATTATATATTCGCAGTACGTATGCAACCGGCTGTTGTTTCGATGTGATGAAGGGCTGGATACCGCCCAGTTTATTTTCTTGCTGTCAAAGATCAAACATTCAGTCACTTCATGCGAATATGGATGCGAAAAGAAATTAACCCACAAACATCTGGGACTGGGAAACCACATGGTTTGGATTTGTGCGGTCTGCCTGGATGAACCCGATGTTGACAAGCTGCTGCCATGGGATTGCTTCGTGTCTTGGGTTTGGAACGGTTGGGTTTATATTAAAAAAAATGTTTCTGTTGGGGCTTTAGATGGTGCTGAAACCAGTACGTTTGAAAATTGATTGGTTCATCAAGAAAACCAAAGCAGTGGAATTTTCCGTGTTCGCATTTCCTTTCTGCACACATGTGAAAACGTCACACACACAGAGGTAACAACAGTATACATTAATAATATAGACATACATTTTTATACTAATAGAAAAAAATGTTGTTTATATTTTATATATATAAAGCCACATATTATATATATAATTACATACTATACATTATGTATATATATGCTTTTGGGGTGTGTACATGCGCAGTACCCTCCTGATGTATGCGTTTCCTTGGCCGCCATTGATGTCCTAAACGTGACGTCGCCCAGGTCGACGAGATTCAACTCCCACACCTTGGCCCAAAATTTTTGACAGGCTGGGCCGTTGCAACCCCCAGAAAGATAGAAAAGTATAGAAAAGTATAGAAAAGTAAGAAATCAAAATCCTACTTAGAATAGGTGTAAGTGATGTTTCCTTTTGTTTTTGGGGAGTAACCACAGGTATTTTTTTTGGTGGGGTAACTGTAGGTATGATTCATTTCTGCCCCCGTGCGAAAGGGATCCAACTGGGATCCAGAGAACTATCATGAATTATCATGAAAACATATCTACATTAAAGTCATTAAAGGGCCTTGGCCATTGGGTAATGATGGTAATTACGTGGGAAACAATTTAGCATAAACTATCGCTAGAAGTGGTTGCGATCCATAAGCGGAAGTTTCTGCGAATCAAGTGCTGGAAGTTGCCCCCTCGAACTTTGATTGTCCCCGAGTTTCTTTGAGGAACCATTTTGGAAATTGCAATACTTCCAGGGTAACACTAGCGGTTTTAAAATGGTAAAAACATGTAAGAACAATGTTCTTCATTGTCAAAACATGTTGTGTCTTGTAAAGTGTCCCTTCATCAACTCATTTCAGTAATGGCATCATAGTTCAACAAAGTTTTTTTTGGCGTGTTTGACAATTTTTATATGCCCAAAAAATGGTCATTTTAATGGTGAAAACAGATTTGACAATGATAAAACCTGGGCTGCAGATGCCTTGCTGGCCGCTGGCGCGCAGCGCGCCCAAAGTACGGCAGAGTGGATGATGGAGGCTGCGGTTGGCGGTTGATGGTTATATGTGGTTACCCGTCTCCGTAAACTGACAGTTTGCAATGGAAAATGGAAATGATCAATTGGTGGTTTAGCTTCGTGTTTTTGCATTTTGGGAATGCCCCAATGTGTCAATCCTGTTTATTCGGAGGCTTCTGGCATTCTGAGCCACCAATCAGCCCGAAAGCACCAGGAGCAGCACTGGTTGGCTGCAATGACAAACCTTTATGTTATTATGATAATTCGATAACTTGCCACTGCCCACTAACAGAAATTGGTGATGCACTTGGCAATTCCTGCTCAGTTCCCTGACCCTTGGGGGAGGAAAGAAAAGGAGTAATACGCCAAGAAAGCAAAACAGATTAGATAACTTGTTTACAAGAGGGGACACCTATTGTCAATCTGATCACGGATTTCCCATTCGAAATTCAATCGCCCATCTTGGTGGGATACCCTATCGACACTCCTGTATCGCTGCTTGAGTTTGAATAGTTGCTGAAATTGTGTGCAGAATCCATTGGCTGATCCAGCAAGCCCGAAATATCATTAAATATCCCTAAATCCATTGGTGAATCCTCATTTCCCACCTGTGGGCATACATATATTTGTAGACAACACCCAACTTTCAGAATAAATTGGTTGAATCCTGCTTTTTGAGGGTTAACGTCCAGATTTTGGCTGGTTAAACCCCATTAGCATCCTATAATCACAGCATTAAAATCCTAGTAAAACTAAGTTAAGTCCTATTCAAAACCACTTCATTCCCAGTTTTAAGACACTTCCATATTTGAGCCACCAGCTGTTGGCCATGGGAACCAACCGGCAAGGCTCGAGCTGCTGTCGCAGACACGGCCTGGCATTTACCTCAGAAGCTGCCTGGAATCATTGTTGAATAGTATGTGCGTATTTTTATTTCTCGTTTTGCTTGCTTTCTTGGAAAAATCATGCAAATCATGAGGGTAAGTTCTTGTTATGTGTTTTTGGGGTGGCTGGAAGCGGTAGTTCTTGGGAGCAGAGGAAGCAAGGAAAGTTGATCCTGGGGCCCCTAGATTCCTGGTGCTGAAATGAAACCAAGCTGGTGAATTATTTCACTTGATGTCAGCTTCTCAGCTTGAAACAACTATGTGTTCAGATATCGTTGACAAGACTGACTGACCAGACACACCAACAGTTAGGGGAGATGCTTCCCGCGAATTCTGGTGGGAGATGGTTTCCTTTCCACGCAGGTTTGATGTTGGGTTGGTTTAGACATTGTTCTGACATAATAATCCCTCCCAATATTAAACACCTCTTAGAAACCATGGTGTAGCATGGAATTTGCACGTAGTTGCGACCGTTAAGGGGGTGTTTGACATATTCGTTGGATGGGGATGGGCCTTTGAAAGAACCCCCATAGTGGCCCTGTTGGATGATGTTTGTTGACTCTGACTTCCGAAGATCATCTGTCGAGCTTGTGTGAGCTTATATCATGAATATCTCACCTCCAAGAATTTGAATCTTCTACAAGTAGTCCTGCTGTCGATAGGGTATGGAATTTTCAGACATATTCGCATTTTAGCATTTTTGTGTTCAGCATGTGATAGCATGTGTATATAATATATATGTCCACATTCTATCTACTCCAGCATGGCTATAACTTCTGATCCCAGTATAACCCAACCGTTTTGAGATCAGAAGTTGTATTGTAGCACTTTGGCAATCAAACGTGGCTTGCTGGAAAGTCCGCAATTTAAATGGATTTTGTGCGTTATTTTTCCCAGCTATATTATAGACTGTATATAAACCTCCATTTAGTGCAAGAATTTTCCAGCTTGCCAGGCATGCCATGTTTGATCACCGAAGGGTAGATGGATTAGAATCCCTATGGTCGATTCTTGAACCCCAGTGAAACCCGATTTTAAATCTTGATTGACCCCCCATTCATTCCCATTAAAGATGTTGAAAGCACCGTGAATTTCCCATCAAAACATCTGAGTTCATGGATTTTCGCCACGGGCACGGAGCGAAAAAAAAACGGCCGTTCTAAGGTGGAGCTGTCCAAAGGCAGCAGTCAGTTCTCAGGGTGTGGTGGCCTTCCTGTCCGCGGAGCTGCAGGTCTCTTTTTTAGGGTACCGTTTGGGTGCCAGGGTTTTGACTCAATAGCCATAATATTTTGCAATGCAATGCACAAATGCATATATATATAATTATATATATACATACATTTAGATACAGCTATACATGTATCGATATATATATATATGTATCGAGAATAAATAACCATTCTATCATAGAAATTATTCGGATTTTTCAGCACATCGTAAGTGCTTAATAGCTATGCCATGGATGTGGCATGGAAATTCCATTGGTGCCCCCCACTGGTACCCAGTCAATCAAATAAGAAGGCCTTGATTGATGGGGTTCCGCGTGGATAGAGTTCAAAATCCCTGTTGGTTGATATGGCTGTGTCTTTTTTTCAGGTGTGCAGATTTTAGTAAGGGTGGGAAGTTCGAGTTCTGCGAACCATACCCACGAATCATACCCCGAACCATACCCCGAATCATACCTGCGAATCATACCCCAAAAAATCACGATTATGAATGTTTCTTTTGGGATCGATTGGGATTGCATGGCCTCACTAGTTTTAATGGACGTGACACGCCAATTGACAAGTGTTGGCCAGATCCGATGATCCCTGGCTGCCTTCACATACCTTCACGACATGAGTGGTGAGGCTGGCTGGCTGGCTAGGTGGCTGGCTGCGTGGCTGGCTAGGCTAGGTGGCTATGGCAATTGCTGCTGCTGGTTGGGTGGCTGGCTATAGGGCTGGCTAGTTGCGGCTGGCTGGCTGCGTGGCTGGCTGCTTGCTGTGTTGTCTGCTATTAAGTAGCAGTTGTGGTAGGTTGACGGTGGGAAAAAGAGACTCAAGCAACAAAGCTTCCTGAATTCCAAAAAAACATGGGTTCCCGAACCATACCCCGAATCATACCCGAATCATACCCGAATCATACCTCAAACTTCCCAATTCTGAACCTTGGTACATTTGCAAGATCAGAACTTGTGTTTTGTGAGCATAAATCTTTTTCTTTGCAACCATTCGCCACGGGCTACACTACGTCTCCTGCTGCTTCTGAGAAAAATCCGGGAACGGCACCCTGCAGTGGCATCCTGCGATGGCACCAACATGCCAACTCCAAAGCGCACACACCACTTTGACTGCAGCACCTTGAAGCAGCACCCTGCAGCAGCACCACCAGCCAGCTCCAGAGCGGACACGCCCCTCTAACAGCTGCACCCTGCAGCGTGCAGCACACCCTTCACTAGCACCATTGCACGCAAAATCGATCCCAGGGCCATTGAGACCCATATACTCCATGCAGGATATAGATAGCATTAATTAGCAACATTCTGATGTTTTTGGGATTTTGGGACTAAGTATAGGTACATAAAGGGCCCCGAACCATACCCCCGAACCATACCCCGAACCATACCCCGAATCATACCCACGAATCATACCCCCTAGTCAAACTTCCCGGGCCGCACTCCTCATTTTGAGACATACCCATATGTCTTTCCGGCTCCGGGAGTGATAATATCCTTTATCGGTTGGGATGATCATCATGGATGGAGTGGAAGGCCTTTTTATCCCAACCGGCATAATGGAATGACACATGGTTCCGAATACTGCTGGCGTAATTTTTTGTGGTAGATCAGGAGTATGGTTAACCCAATAATGACCCGTTTTGTTTTTTGGTCAGTACCACTGAATGGATCCAGATGGTGTATGCGTTTAGGGAAACTTACCGAATTCCATGAAGAGAAAAATTACAGGACACCTTCATGAAAGATATGGCAAAGGCCAAGGCTTCCTGTAAATCCTTCAAACCAACCCAATGATATGTACCCAAGTTGTTGATGAGATGTCGGGCAACCAATCCATTTTGCAGGTTCATATCCCCCATTTTTGTTGGTCAATGATGGCCTGGGCTTGCGCCCATCAATCAAGATACCCCCATATGGATGAAAATTACCACAACTGGGTGAACTTGGGTTGCCAGTGAACTAGTCATTGAAGTCAGGTGATTGAATCAAGAATCCTCCTGGATGATTCCAAAATTCGCAATCTCAGTGTGGAAAAGCACAATCAACCATCTTTTTGGGATTCCATGTTGTGAAACTCCACTTATTGCTGGGTATCACTTGCGTTCTCCCCCAACCCACCCTCCCAGCAAAGCCAAGATCATCATAATTTTAGTAGTCTTCATTGTTACCCACTAGTGGGTTGGAGGATAGCCCTATCTACAAGATCAGCCCACTTAAGTTACATGACTTAGTAGCCAGGATCTATGAAACATGTTCTATACGAAGTGGGACGCTAATCCAACTAGCAAAGCCCTGTCTGAATGCAACGTAAGGGAGGGAGAACCAGTTTCGCAGAGTCTTATTCTTCACTTTGATATCCCATGTGTCTCATACATCCAGACTTTCTCAAGTACCGCAAAAGATGGGGGTAATGTAATACAGTCATTATTGTGTGACTTTTGCCCATTCTTATGGGTACTTATGGTGCTTGCAGGGTCTGGGTATCTCCATCGATGACACCTTTGGAGGATTTTAGAGGGTGCAGGATTCCTATCAAAAACATTGCCAGGTAGGTGCTCGACGAGTGACCGATCCCGGCACAGTACCTTGAGCTGCAGATGCCGCTGTACCATCAAATTCACCTGGAAAACAGCACTTTGCTATTTCTAGTTGAGAATACGCATATATATATATACATATTTACAATGTATATTTAATTTATGTATTTGTTTCTCTGTATAAAGAATATAAGCACAACCTTGCATATCATACGGAGATGGATGTATGCGCATTTGTCAAAACAGTTGAACTACTCATTCAAAGATGTGTTTGTTTCTTTTCATCTCCATGGAGGGTCTTATGGTAGTTTGGAGCAGGCTTAGCTAGACCATTTTGAGACATTAGCAGTTTTCAGTTGAAGCTTTCAAGACAGGCATGTTGTGATGAAGTGTTTTTGTCACCCGTATCTTCCCCACTTGTGGCTATTTTAATGGGGAAAATGAGGGTTAAACAAGGAACCATCAAATTTGAGGGTGTCCTAGTTTTATTTTAGAAAAGCAAACAATTGCACGTTTTGTCATGAGAATTTGGTTGAACCACCTCCCTCTTTGGCAAATCCTCGGCAATTTGACATAGCTATGCATAGCAACCGTTTTTAATATGCATAGCTATGTAAAAAAAAACAGAAGGCATTTGAATTGATTCATGGATATGGTTGGCTCAGGGTGGTTCACATTAAAGGTGGTTTGGAAGAACCGCGACGGACTCACGGGCTCTCCCGTTTCTAATCTACCCACTTGCAGATGCATGCAGTCACTATGATATGTTGCATCTCTATATATATAGATTATATTATGTAATTATATATACATATATTAATTGTGTATATATATATTATATTATATATTATATTTTGCATATATATATATTTATTAAATAATGTATATATATATAATATATATATATATTATTTATATATATTATATATATATTATATATTATATATTATATTATGTATATATATATTATATTATATTATATACACACACACTGGAGAGGCTGCATTTAGGGACCCTTGAACCTTGCTGTTCTGGAAAGATGAAGCCCATGCATCCGCTTGGTTGAGGTCTATCAAGCAGATGATGCGCCGGGACTTGTCTTGGTGCGCCAGGGATGGGGGCCTGAAGAGAGCGCGGCCCTTTCGCGCGGCCCTTTCGTGCGAGATTCAGCGGAAGCGTGATGGTAGATGTTCCAACAGAACCAGGGGGATCCCAACAAAGAAAAAACACAGATTGGACAGACGATGAATTCATTTGGCTGTGAACAAAACGGGTGCCAGGGTTTTGACCCATAGGCACTGAGGCCCGAGAGCTTTCCAGGTAGCGTGCCTGTTTCAACCAATCTCGGCTTGACGTTTGATCCGTGCCATGGATGTTCATTTCTTGGAGCCCATTCCAAAACACGGTGAAACCATTACTCTTTTGGGTGAAATAGCCTTTTTCGACAATGACAATCGCAAACACTGCATCAGAACGGCCTTGAAAGGGCAATTCATGAAGTATGTCGGCATTTTGCCGGAACATGCAACGGTTGTCTTGATCGTGGGGGCTAGGGTCCAAGAAGCCAACAGCCAGGTGACCCTACATGAGATTGACACCACCAAGTCATTTCCCAGACCGTACATCAATTTAGCAGAAGTCAAACGAGTAGTCGAGGTTTGCTCGGGAGCAGGTTTCCTGGGAGTAGGCCTAGAGCACAGTGGGTTCGATGTCATTTTGCGGTGTGACCACAACCCAAAGATGTTGAAACTTGCCAAAGATTTGCACAACTCGGAAGTTGCACTAGGAGATGTCTGTACAGACTCGTTGCTTAGTCCGATTTGCAGCCTTCAGCCGAATGCAGGTACTTTGGCCAGTGGGGTAGCTTGCCAGCCCTATTCACGCCTAGGTGACCAACAACACCACCTGGACACCCGGTCCATGACACTGCCTGGTACCCTCCGACTAGGGTTTTTGTGCCGTAGTGGAGCAATCTTGTTGGAATGTGTAGCCGAAGCACATTCATGCCCATGGGTCCAACAGACCATCCGCCGATTTGCATCCATCACTGGGTATGGCATTTCCCAGGGAGTATGCCAGCTACAGACCTTGTGGCCAGCCAAAAGGAATCGCTGGTGGTGCATACTCACACATCCGGCCTTAGGATCAGTTCCATGGGTACCAATGCCCATTTCCACTGCCATGCCGATTGTTGCAGACGTGTTGGACCAATTTCATGCCTGTACAGAGAGTGAGATGCAGCAACTTGCACTGGATTTGTACGAGTTGGGAAGGTTTGCAGCACATGGCTTTGAAAGAAATGAGCTGCCCTGGAAGGGCCAAATGCAGACCAGCCTTCATTCATGTGGCAGCCAGCTTACCGGCTGTCCATGTGGGTGCAGAAAGTTTGCCTTTCATGATGATCGCCTTGCTCAGAAAGGCCTTCACGGAATCCTCATTCGTTTGCAAGGTTGTGTGACATGTGGCTCAAACACATACCCATGCTATCGACACATCCATCCAGCCGAGTTGGCACTTTTGAATGGAATGCTTCCAGACATGCCTTGGGGTGATCAAGCAATGAAGCTATCGCTTTGCGCTTTAGGCCAACTTGCCTCTCCGATCCAGTCAACTTGGGTAGGGTCGTTGCTGATGAGACACATCCAGTGCATACAAGAGTCACCAAGCGTCATTGACCCACATGTCAACCTGCTCACATGGATGGAGAAAGTCCTTGCCAGTAGGGATGCATTTTTTGGACCACAAACCAACCCTAATGCCAAGCATTTCAACAAGCTGATCCACACCAGAGTTTTTGCCACCAAAATGCCATCCAAACCAACAGGAACTGACAAAACAGATCAGCCCAATGTTATGCCCCGCCTGGCCGAGGAAACAGAGACCGCCCATGCTGGTGATCGAGGAGGAGCTGACTCCAAGAGGCCAACCGTCATCCCAGGTGATGCCATGCAGACACAACCACCAGTTAGCACATCAGGGGTCAAACGTGATGCATCCGAATTCTATCATGCCCAGTCAACCGACAGCATGCCAGCACATGTTAATGGAGGAGTACATGGTTTCCAGAACAAGCATGCCAAGAAACAAAGGTTGCATGATTCACAGTGTCTTGCCATGTCACCACAAGTTCATGACATCCCACAACCGAATGAAGACTCAGGAGAATCCCCAGGGATTGGAAGTTCCCCTTTTCCCCCAATGCCATGCCTCTTCCACGTTTAGGGTGTGGAGGCCCCTCCCATGTGAAAGATGAAAGCAATTCAGGCGATTGTCCACATGGCCACCACCAAGTCCTGTCAAAGGTGAATCCAGGCGATGACAAAATGCCTCACCATCCTCGAGTTGACCTCAAAGATGGAGACAAGCCCACCGAACCGAAGAACAGTGCTTTGCCATCCCTTCCCCCCCATGCAATGCCTCTTCCACGTTTAGGGTGTGGAGGCCCCTGCCGCAGCTCGGACGAGCCCATATGGAAGGGCACTTGACTCAAAGATGCGAGAGAGTGAGCAAGCGACTGACAGTTTGGCTGCACGAGAGTCCCACCTTGATCGAGTGTCCAAGATCCATCCAGGCGATGACAAAATGCCTCACCATCCTCGAGGTGACCTCAATGATGGAGACAAGCCAATCGAACCGAAGGCCAGTGCTTTGCCATCCCTTCCCCCCCATGCAACGCCTCTTCCACGTTTAGGGTGTGGAGGCCCCTCCCATGAGAACCAGACTGTCGCAGCTCGGATGAGTCCATATGGAAGAGCACTTGACACAAAGATGCCAGAGAGTGAACAAGCGACTGACATTTTGGCTGCACGAGAGTCCCACCTTGATCTCGTGTCCAAGAGCGGCTTGCACAGACAATGTCATCATGAGACGGACGCAATCCTGATCAACCCTCCCACCCCATGCCAGGCAATGCCTCTTCCACGCTTAGGGTGTGGAGGCCCCCCCCAAATGAGCAATGGTGAACATGGGAAGGTCCTGATCAATGGAATTCACTCCGAACCTCCAATGAAGCCACCAGCTCCAGCATTCCAAATGCCTTCAGAGAAGCAACAGACCAGTGTCCCCGAAAGTTCGAAGTTGACTGCAGTTGACCAAAGCCCCAAAGTATGCCCCACTCTTATGAGTGGTGTACCGACATGGCCGTGCCCAGAGGCCCCGCATTCGATGCATCCGAAACCATCCACGCATAATGCAGAGATGCCAATGCCAAACTTCCTCAACACCATGGGGAACTTTCCGGGGTACCTAGCCACCAAAACAGGCCGGGGAGAAGTTTCAACACATGCAAGCCACGCAAGTGACAATGTACAAAAGCCCGACTCCGGAAGTGAGGCCAAAGACCAGCCTCTAGCGGACCAGCAAGATGAAAGCAATGATCATCATCCTGATGCAGGTCACCCACCCAATCCCCCCCATGCCATGCCCCTTCCACGCTTAGGGTGTGGGGGCCCCACCCATGAGGGCATACCCCCATGTGAAAGCCTTGCCGGCGAGGTTGAACCAGTCGCAGAAGACATGAAACAAAGTGATCCACATGAGACCATGCAAATCTTTGTGCTACATGAAGATGCCAAATACCCAATCCCATGCCGAGTTCCGATTGATGCAACACCAGGCACACTCACAGTAGCTGAAGCCCGATTGCAGACCATGTCATTGCCGATTGCACCCAGGTCCATTGTGGGTACGCACTTGCCTCTTGACCAAATGCTTCACTCAGAACAATATGTGGTGCTTCATGAAAGCCTCCCGAAAAGCAGCAGGTGCCCTTTCTTAGACACCAAGTACTCCACGCCACCGGCCAAAATGCACCTTGGGTTGCCATGCACACGCATTGAAGCTCTCTGGCGACAAAAAGCCTGGGTAGCAGCTGACGAGATGGCCTACTACCTTGAAGCCACACAATACGGAGACCAAGCAAATCCATTTCCACCTGCCAACTTTCAGGACGAAGCAGATGCCTTGGAGACCGCAATGGACTGGTTAGCCATAGGCATGGAGGCACATGACACAGACAAACCATGGTGTTCAGCTGCCATCATAGCTTCACATTGGGTACCAGTGATCATTGAACATCATGATCAAACCATCAAGCTCATCACGACCCCTGAAGGATCATGCCTGCTTGAACCAGCCAACCTTCTAACGCATGCTGCAGGCAAGACACTTGAGGTGACCCAACGTATCCTGCCGACCACTTTTGCTGGTGATTGTGGTTTCCAATCCATTGCATGGATGATTGCCATCCTCAACGACCACCAAGTTGAAGCCATGTCAGCCACCAGAGCATCTCAATGGAGACACTTGTTCGTGCGAGAACTCTGCAAGCGAGGCACAAGTTTTGAGACCATCCATCACCTCAATATTGGTGGTAGCAAATTGGATGCCCGCGAGATGCAACAACTGTCCGAGATCCTGATGCAACATGGAGTTTGGCCAGAACGAGCAATGGACAGAGCCAATGCTTTGGCTAGTGCAGTCCCTGCCCCCAGCATCCGCAACATCTTCAATTCCAACCGACCATGGCAAGACCTGAAAGCAGCTGCCAATTTGGTAAAGCCACAGTTCAAACTGATCATGCCTGATGAACTCAATGCACAGATAGCACACCGTACCAACCAACGCAAGTACGGAAAGAAATCCCAAGCCAAAAGGAATGATGCCAACAAAGATCATATCACAGTGAAAGCCGCAGAATTGGTCGTGCCCCATGGAGTGTTCAAACAACAGGATAACACCATCCTTGGCCCAATGCAGGTCGGAGATGTTGGACCAAATGCCAAAGGAGTTCTGTTGGTAGACCAAGAAGATTGCCATGCCACTCTCCGCTTACCCACGCCTGTCACACAAGCCGGCCTAGCAGTCATCGTCTTGGCCACCAAGCAGAACACAGACCAACACCAAATGGAGCCGATCAGATTTCCCGCCATGTGCGTATCAACACAAGAGCCATTGATAGCATCCGGGTACTTGTACCAATTGGGGTCTCAGCCGGTAGTCAGACATGAGCCAACCGTCAAGCTTGCCATCGAAGAACAAGACACTGAAGCCATGCGCTGCCTCATCTTCAAAGACCAGGCTGGGAAACTTTGGGACCAGATACAGCAGCACCCAGTCAAGCATATCTTTGCCACCGAACCCCTGTTGGCAGTGGTAGACAATGTGTCACCTGTCATTGACGTATGGGACCGCCAGTGGGTATCCAAGAAGTTTGAGAAAGTTCGCCCGGCCAGTGCAGAAATTTTTGCATTCTCTTTCCGCATGTTGGCTGACAAAAGCGAGTTGCTGCTGACAAAGAGTGGTCAAAACGGAATCTACTGGGAGCCCAGAGCACCCTGTGGCAGATTTCCCAACGATGGGTACCATGTGACTTGGCTCAGCAACATGACTTTCCAGGATGCAAAGTATGCCCAACAGACCTCCCCTCAAGCAACTACCTTAGCCCGACATGGCGACAGGTATGGACTCCGCAGTGATGTGATGAATGCCCAGGAGATTCATGATAAACATCAACCCAATACACCCCTGCTGATGGGCCAGTCAAAGATGCTCTACGCTGTAGGACAAGCAAAGCCATTGCAGCCAAAGGGCAGAGCTCAAGATGGAAGTGGGGTCACTTGGCACATCCAGGCCACCGAAGATCCTGGACATTGGGTGTACTCCCTGCAACATGGAGACGTCCTAGTCACCAAAATCCAGGACACCAAGCCGCCTGCAGTGCCGATGCCGTACTCAATCGTGGCCTCCAAGAAAACGATTGAACATTTCCAGGGACCGGACCCCTGGGCACACTATGATCCTTGGCGCAAAGACGGCCAGCAGCAATCCATCCATGCAGCCAAACCTACCAATGCAGCACAGCCCAGCCAGCCAGTGACCCAAGCACAGCTGGCAGCCTGGGAAGCCAACATGGAGAAGAAGATCCAGGCCATCGCAAAGAATGCAGACGGAGATGCCAACATGGAACCATCCCAAGTCGAGTCTCGCATCACTGAGCTTGAGAGCAAAGTCAACCAAGTCCAGCATATGCAAGCAGGCATGGACAGCAAAGTGAACATGCTGCAGGCTCAGATCGATCATCAGAGCAAGCTGCTTGGAGACAGAATTGATGAAAAGATGTCTGAACAAATGGATCGCATAGAGCAGCTGCTATGCAAGCGATCCCGTTTTGAGTGACTATGGACCGCAGTTAATTATGGCCGGACCATTTTGCACAGTTGGTTGAACCCTCAACATCGGTCTAGGCCATTTGCACGCAGCAGACAGTCACCACCTGTGACTACCAAGTTCAGTCTCCTTTGTATGCTCATCATTTTCTTTTCTACCACGTTCCGGCCGGGTGAGGCCAAAACACCAGGACCAGTGATTGGAAACATGAACCCTACGGGATTGATGGGGAAGGCTTCCGAGATAGCAACTTTGCCAGCCGGCTTGTATACTTTCCAGGAATCCCATCTAACCAGTCAAGGCATCCGTAGATTCAAACAAGAACTAACCTGGTGCAACACGGGGTATCGAATCTGTCATGGTCACCCCGCTCCACCAAAAAACGACTCAGTGAGAACAATAGGGGGACGCCACACGGGAACAGGAGTTCTCACCCCTTACCCATGCAGACCAATTGACCACCATTGGACATCAGAGCAGTATCAATCTGGTAGATGCCATGCCGCTGCCGTTTACATGCAAAAACGATGGATCACAGTTGGCACAGTGTATGGCTTCAGTGAACGATCCCACTGTCTTGACACTCAGCAACAGACAGGCCTTTTGCTCGACGGCCTAACCAGCCGAATCGTTGAAGGCGCCCATGGCCTTCGTGTAGTGACAGGGGATTGGAATCAGGAACGTCATAATATCCCTCAGGCTGACCAATGGGAACACAAGGGATGGATGGAAGCTCAAGTTTTTGCACAATGGCGGTGTTCCCAAACACCACTAGCAACATGTAGGAAAACCACCATCAAAGACTATGTTTTCCTGTCACCTGAGATAATGCCATACATCTCTGACATCCAGCTCGACTGGTCCATGTTCACAGATCATGCAGTCATCCAGGTATTCCTTACCGATCTCGATCGGCCACCCATGACGCCAATGTGGCGAAAGCCAAAGCCAATCCAATGGCCAGATAAAACTACGCAGCAAATCCAATGGGACAAGCACGCAATACCATGCGAAGACACTGATGAGTGGTACCGCAGAATCTGGCAAAATGTAGAGCAGTATGCCACAGCCTTGCAACAGGCCAATGACCAACCACCCCTTGCCAACAGCCAAAAAGGCAGGGGAGCAACAACAGAAGTGCAGTGGATGCAAGAACATTCAGCACCCATCAAGCCCAACCGCAGAGGTGATGTTCAAAGTGCATTGTCGACGAGCTCGTTGCAATATAGCAGATGGACCAAGCAGATAAGGCGCCTCCAACACTACTCAAGGTGCGCTAGCTCAGAAAGCTCCACCACCATCATGGAACATAGAGCAAACCTGTGGAACAAAATCCTCCATGCTGTAGGTTTTGAAGGTACTTTTTGCAATTGGTGGGTCAAGATGCCTAAAGCTTTCCTTGCGTCACCAGTGTTTCTGCCGTTCCAACCTCCTGGATATGACGTTGCTAATGCAGTCTTCCTTGAGTTCAGCAGACACTACAAAGCTTTGGAGACTAACCTTTCCAGGGCCAAGTATGCCCATGCATGCCACAGAAGAGCCAAAGACCCCTTGCAGATTTACCGAGACCTCCAGCGTGAACGTGCTGAACCTGTCCAAACCTTGGTTGTGACGGATCACATTGAAGTACTTGCAGCCCAGGCACATGATGAAGAAACTGCCGAGCTCACCCTGGCCAAGCCGTTGCCAGAAAACATGCACAGCATCACCATTGATGGAGTCAACACTGCAGTTAACATCCAGGACCCCCAGCGCATCTTGGTCCCTTCAGCCAGCATAGGGACATGCCAAAAGGGTTTGAAAATTCAGAAAGTTGAAGCCGATGTCAACTCCATCCTTCATGCCTTTGAAGATGAGTGGGCGCCACGATGGCACAAACCAGAACATGAAAACCCAGAACAATGGGATGCCATAGTAGGATTCATGAAGCAAGCCATGCCGCCGAGATCTGTAGAATTCCCACCCATCACAACAAAAGCACTTACCAAGGTGGTAACCTCCAAGCGTAAGTTTGCAGCCATAGGACCAGATGGAGTATCCAAACTTGACATCCTACGTATGCCTGCCGCAGCCCTGTCGGATCTTGTCTCCCTCATCGAGTGCATCGAGGCGGGTTCACATTGGCCATCTCAGGTTGTCACCGGCTTGGTGGCTGCCTTAGCAAAAACCCCAACAGCCCAAACAGTTGGCCAATACAGACCGATATGCATCTTTTCCATGGTTTACCGTGCCTGGAGTTCGATCCGAGCCCGGCAGTGCTTGCGATACCTCATGGACCTTGTGCCAAACTCCTTGATGGGGAATATCCCTGGCAGATGCCCCCAAAAGATTTGGTACCATATCCAACAGCTCATTGAACACTCATACTGCCATTCTTCCGAACAAGCAGGGGGGGTAGTTGACATAGTCAAATGTTTCAATGCACTGCCGAGGCATCCACTTGTCGAAATAGCTAAGCACTTGGGGCTGCCCGACCAAGTCATGCGACCATGGCAACAAGCCCTGCAACAAATGACGCGCAGATTCCAGGTTAGAGGTGCAGTAGGTCGACCTTTGCTCAGCAACCGAGGCTTTCCTGAAGGGTGTGCATTGTCAGTAGTTAGCATGGTGGTAGCCAACATCACAGCTGAACTTTGGATGCACTTCCGATACCCATCGGTGCGCCTATGGTCTTTTGTTGACAACATAGAAGCTACGACAGACTCAGCGGAAACTGCCATCACAGCTTTGCAAGCACTTGGAGAATTTTGTGATTTGATGGACCTGAGCATTGACCCATGCAAAACGTACGCCTGGAGCACTTCCTCCACCGGACGCAAGACAATTGTGGACAGCCAGTTCCACAAAAAGCTCTATGCCCGAGATCTCGGAGGCCATATGTGTTACTCCAGGCTTCGAACCAACATGACCATCCAGGATAAAATCAAAGAATTCTCCCCGTTTTGGTTTCGTTTAGCAAGATCGTTAGCGCCAATCAAGCAAAAAGAGCGTGCACTCTATGTTTCAGCTTGGCCAAACATCTTTTATGGTATCAGTACCATCACCTTGGGAAGCAACCACTACCAACGCCTGAGGTCACAGTGTGCCAAAGCCTTGCACTGCAACCAGACAGGTGCCAATCCTGATCTCCAACTTGCATGCATTAGCATACCCACAGCTGACCCAGAACTTTTTGCAGTGCTATCCACGGTGATGGCCTTCCGAAACCATGGAGACACAGACCTGGCCCAGTTCACCCTGCAGCACTTGACAGAAGGGGGCAATACGTCCCAAGGACCCTGCACCAGTTTTCTTGCGGCCATCCACAAACTTGCATGGAGCTGGTCCCACGGAGATGTTTGTTATGACCAGCATGGAGAAACCATCCGAATCCAAGCCAGCCCTGCCACAGAAATCAGACAAAGAGTGATCCTTGCATGGCAACAGAGAGTTTTACAAACCACCGAAGCCATCAGATCCACTATGACAGGACTTGCCTTTTCAGATGTTAGGCTCACAGTCAAGGTATACAAAAGCCTTCCTGATGACCAACAAGGTCTCATGAGATGCGCCTTGAATGGAACGCAATATACCAATGATGCTTTATGCCATGCTGGCGTCACAGACACCGATGCCTGCAGATTCTGTCAGCAGCAAGACAGTTTGTACCACAGAACATGGCAATGCCAATTCTTCCAAGATTTGCGTGATGCCTTGCCAGATTTGCCTGACCCAGCCAAAGTGCCATCATGTACTGCATGCCATGGATGGCTGCCACAGTCACCAGACCTACACAAGTTAAGAGCCTTGTTCATGCGTTTCCCTGACACCACTGCCAATTTTGCTCAACATGAAATGCCGTACAACCCTCCTTTCCTTGATCTGTTTCTAGACGGAAGCTGTGTGCATCCAGCGGAGCCGGACATCAGGATATCCAGTTGGGCATTTGTTTGTTGGGATGGAGAGTCTTTTCCTTGCATTGCCAGCGGCTTGGTACCAGGTTGGAGACAAACTAGCTTACGTGCTGAGCTTACAGCAGCAATTTCGGCCCTTAAGTTTTGTGCAGACCAACAACGCCCATGCCGATTGTGGTTCGACAATGAAAATGTTCAATCCACTCTCCAACTGTGGATAGCAGGTTTTTCCACGCCATGGGAAAAGAAGCAAGACAGTGACCTCTGGCACCAACTTTTTGCCCAGTTTCAACATGCCAAACAGTTTCTTTGTGCTGCCTTCAAAGTACAGGCCCATGCAAAAGTGTTTGACCAGGATCATCCTATTGACCAGTGGGCAGTCCAAGGTAATAGCACAGCAGACCTGTTTGCTTCGGAAGCCCGCCAAAGGATTTCCGCAGAATTTTGGCTCTGTTGGGAAAGCGTGCGTGAACACCAGAGGCAAACCTTGCGGATGGGAAAAGCTTTGCATAAGTTGTTTGTTCAAATAGGTCTTCGAGCACAAGCAGTCTCTATAACCAATCAGGTTACCACCCCACAAGTCATTCATGCTGACCCTCAGACAGGTGTAGATAAAGGAATACTGGCTCTTGCGAAAGCGGAGGCACAAGATTTTCCAAAGCACTTGCAAGTGGAAGAAACCTACCATGTGCTGCAGTGGCTTAAAACCTTGGTTGATAACTCCACTGGGACTCGATGGGTTTCTTACCATCAATTGCTGATTGACTTTCAAATGCAAACCAAACGTCTCGGGCCTTTTACAAACGGAAGACGCTGGACAACACGAGGAATAGATGTCATGTACAACTACCCGCAACAAGTGCAGTGGTTCGGACGATTCGTCCAAAACCTTGCGAAAAGTTTGGAAATCCCTTTAAGTACGGACCAAAGACGACCTTCGAGCACCGTCCTGGCCTTCTGGAGTGGATGCATATGTGTGGCAATTAGCGATGACAGACTTACTGCAGTCGACAGTTTTTACCGGGGCGTTGTGCGCTGCCAACCTGTGCGTCAGATTGCCAGGGATATGGCAGACGTACCACCAGGGTACTAGTCAGCCTAGATACGTTTCTGGGTGCGAGCAATCGACTCCGCCTTCCGAGCGATTGCTTCCGCAGAAAGGGAGAAAGGGAGAGAGGGTTTTGACCCATAGCCATTAGCCACTTGTCAGCCAATGTCCAGCATGTTTAGGGTTCGTGTCTTCATTTCTTAGGCTTCCCAAAGATCATTTTTTTTTTGTCCGCAGTGCTTTCCGGTGGTGATTCACTGACAGGTGGAGCGATTGTTACAACCCATCTACTTACAGGTGCCACCCCAGCAGCACGGGTCCGGAGCTTCTGGGGTTTTTTGAGGCGCCACGCCTTTAGGGACCGGCCAATGGCTTTGGCAAACTTGGGTCAGCCTCAAGGGCATCATAATGGTTACATAACGGCTAATAGTGGTTACTGATTACGATGTAATTACTTATGTAATAGTGGTTACTAATGGTGAATAATGGCTAATAATGAAATATCATGAAGTTGTGTAAAATATGGCCCTGGCAGTGTCAAATCCCCCGGGACCGCGGGAGCAGTCTCGGAAGGCCGAGTAGCGTAGCAGCGTAGCATCAAAGGTCAAGGTCTGGAAAGCTGTGTTCAATCGTTGATGCAGCAGTTGCAGTTTCTGCACATGAGAAGATTGGTCGGCCTGTGCCACTAGAGGGATTTATTGCATCCGGATGAATCCCTGCAACGTTCGATGTACAGTTCATATCCACCATTTCAATGGGCTTTAAGGCCCAGCAGCACGTTCCATTTGTAACCCAAACGGCCTCAAAGGGTCTGAAAATGTCTGAAAACACCAATGCTCTAGCATTCCTAGCAAAAACTGACAGTCAGGATGCATCGTTGTCTTGTGATTTCTCATTTTGAAGATCCATCGATGTTCAAGTCGTCTCCCTTTGCATCTCGCGGCATCGCCATGGGATCCCCTCCATCGGTGGGCAAAACCAGCTCGGTGGCCACTTACTTTTACATTGGCTGGGGAAACTCAGCGGGACTGGGACTCACTGGGACTCACTGGAGCTGGTGGACATTGGTGGACATTGGCTTTTCTGTGATTCTGGGTAGAAATTGA